AAACATTTATATCCCTCCTTTCATCTGGGTTCAATGTGGCTTACAATAATATTTAAAACATCCCCAGCTAAAACCAAAGATAAAATAGCAAGTCCCAATCCTTCCTCCTCCCAAAAACGATGCCTGTTGTTCAACCCCCTCAAACGCCTTGACAAATAGACAGGCCTTACAGCACCTCCTGAAGACCTCCAAGGAGGGGGTCCCTCTCACCTCTTCAGGGAACCCATCCCACACAGCCAGAGCCATGATGGAAAAGCCTTGGGCTCTGGCTGATGCCAGGCAGCCCACCCTGAGTGGTGGGATGGCCAACAAATGGCTGCCTGTTGACTGTAGTTAGCGTACAGGGACAAATGGAAGGAGACAGCCCTTCAAATATGGGGGTCCCTGGTTGCAAAGGGTGTTCAAGGTCATAACCAGCCCCTTGAACTGAACTTGGAAACAAACTGGCAACCAGTCACTGTTTCAAAATGGGCAACCTATGTTCCCAGTGGCTAGACCCTGGTAACAGTTGGGTAGATGAAGTATGATGAAGTAAGCCAACCATGAGGTTACAAAAGCATGGATCAGTGGGGCCAGATCAAATTAGTCTAGGATGCAGCTGATAGAAGATGTTCCTGGCCACCATGCCAACCAGCTTTTCAAACAGCAAGGCAGGGTCCATGAACATCCCCAAACTCTTAACCTGCTTTAGCACAAGAGGTTTCAGTCCCTCTGAAATATCAGCCTTCTCGACCAGCATTAACGGCCAGTCCACCCCAGGGGGGTGAGGGGCTCTTTCTTGTTTAGCCTTTGCTGAAACTGAGCAAATAAGCATTTTTTTTTTAAAAAAAAAGGGGTGTAGAATTATACTGTTCTTGAGCATTGCTATGCATGCATGAAAAGGGTGGATGGAAAATCATGATGGTGGTATGACAATGGGGGGGGGTTGAACTAGGCTTGCCAACTCAGGATAGGGAAATACCTGGAGAGTTGGGGGTGGAGCCTAGCAAAGGCAGGGTTTTGGGAGGGGAAGGACCTAATTGGTATATAATGCCATAGAGTCCACCCTCCAAAGCAGCCATTTTCTCCAGGGGAGCTGATCTCTGTCATCTGGAGATCAATTGTATTTCCAGGAGAACTCCAGACCCCACATGAAGGTTGGCACAGTATGAAAGAGAAACCATGGCTGCCTGGAGTCTCTGTTACAAATGGGAATTGGCCGACAATTGTACCGGCAACAAGACCACCACGGAAAACTTCCTCAGACCTGGATACATTTCCACCAAGCTGGTGATGGCACAGAAGATTCTAAATTTGGTTTCTGCCAGTCTGAAGCTGATTTGTGCATCTGGATTGCAGAAGAGGCAATTACTGGCAGATTAAAACAAAACCTCTGAATACATTTTTTTTTAAAGAAATCGAGTATATAGCATTATTAGCACCCCAGCAGAATGCGTCAATGTGATGAATGAATAATCATATTTACTCAGCTCATTGGGAATCTTTTCAGCCATCTCTGCATCATTCAAAAAAGGAAGCCGGCTTTGAACGTAAAGATTTCAAAGCAGGTTGGGGTGGGGTGCGGTTTACAGCCAGTGATTAGTTCTTTCCCCTCCTTTGCTTTCTGACATTTATTTCCTGTAAATATTTCACAAGCATAAGATCTGGGAGATGATGAAAGGCGAGTTTGTGATGTGAGCTCATTCAGAAGTCTAATTAAATGAAAATAAATATGAGGGGTGGGATAGCCTGGGCCGGTGGAAATGGACAGGTCTTCAGGGAGAGGAAGAGGAATGGATACAGCTCATTTTCTATGTAGATTCTTATAGTTACTAAGATTAATGTTATGCACATCTGCACAGAAGAACCTGTGGTTTTTAATGGGTCAAGGATGGCCCTTGATGCAATAGTTGTTCATACATTCTTCACTTTTCAAAGCTCCTATGACCAGATGATCATGAGTAAAAAAACATAAAACATTATTTACTAAAGGAAAATATGCTAGATGGAAATTTGGCGACCCAGTAGGTTGTGTTTGGGTCACTGTCTATCATCAGATAGGGAACATTATCCCCTTGAAGTTTATTAAATGAAGAATGTGTTAAAAGCGGTGAGATCCAATGGTTCCTAAAAGTGGTAAAAATTATATTCCAATATTTTGTGAGACAGAGGTTGTAGTCAGACATGGTCTTAGCGTGGTCTGGCCGTGTCTCTAATTTATCCAGGGTTATTTGTTCTGTAGAGTTTCATCCAAACACATCACCCTTATCCCACCTCACTGCATGCTTACCCCGTGGTCAACAGTTCAGATTACTGCTGTGTGGTAACCATGGGGCGGGGGGGAGTTGGGCGGTATCCGTTTTTTTTTTTAAAAAAATGTTTTCTGGGCATGTGCAGAAGCACTTATTTGAAGCACCGCTCCTTTTTGACAGCTCCGCAATTCTTTTGCCAAGTACTATGATCATTTTTCGTATACACCTGTTATTCTCAGCCAGAAATCACTCCCTTTCTCACCTGATCTTACTCCCTTTCCCACTCATTCCATAGGGAAGTTTCTCCTTTTTCTCTCACCAGAGAGCTTCCCTGCCAGAGCAATATTATGAAGTGGTTTGGAGTAAAGTTGCAGGGGTGGAATCCTGGCCGTCAATATGGGAGCCTAAATGGGGATTATTTCCACCACCGTCTCACCTCAAGAAACAGCTCAAAAACAACCTCCCCTGGGGGCTTCCAATCCCAATAGAACATTGTGGTGCATAAACACACAAGCGGTGCCTCATGACCCTGCAGTGGAGATCTGCTTATGCACATATCGCTAACTGATTTTTTTTTAAGGAGCAAAAATGGAAGGAAAGATTTAGACTTCCCTTCCAGCTTGAGACCACAATGGAGAGTTCAGACATCCAGAAATGCATAGTGAAACTAGACAATCCATTTGTCCAGTGTCAGAACACACTGATTCTGGGACAGGTGAAAACAGGAGGCCGACGACTGGGGAACGGTATATGGGCAATAATGTCTAATCATGCATTTTAAATCCAGAAAGGAACAGCAACATCAGATCAAACAGCTCATCTGACCACAGCCAGAGTGTCGATTTTACCCTGACTGCAAGGGCAGAGACAATCTGAAAATGGAATACAACAAAGTCTGCCCTGTAGCGCTTTGGAGGAGATGGCATTTCAAGAGTGAGGCCTAGCAGATACGGATGTCCAGAAACAGACTGGAAACTAGTGTAGTTGGATCAAGACTAGGGTGATATGGTCCCTATGACCCACTCCAGTCAACAACCTGGCTGCAGTTTTCTAAACAAATTGAAGTTTCTGAACACTTTTCAAGGCCAGTGTGCTGCTAGGGTTGCCAAAACCCCCCCCAGTGGAGGAGGGGTCCCTCACCACTAGGCCCCTCTGGTCCACTGCCAATCAGTGGGCTGGCAGAGGGAGGGACTTACAAAGAGAAAGAGGAAGGCCCAGGCCATGTTGCTGGCATTGCACAGGCTTTAATTAGAATACATTGTAAAAACAAGGTATTTTGTTCCAAAGTTTATTGAATTATACATCATTTTTCAATGCTTACATTTTTTATTCATATTGTACTGGTTAATATGTTTAACTGTTCTTTAGTTCATTATGGACTTGGCTAATGTTATAAAAAAGTGATTGTTATGTTTTCTTAACACTATTGTATTATACCAATAAAATGTTATTGGAGGAAGTGGCATCACCACACCAGTGATTTCTGGGTGACACTCTGGTATTTGGGGGGGAAATCTATGGTAGAAATCATTTTTACCATAGAGTTTTCCCCAAATACCAGAGCATCACTTGGAAGTTGCTGGTGTGATGACATCACTTGCAGTGTGATGCTGGCAATCGGACCTTCCTTTTTCTCTTTCCCCCACATTCCCCACTGATTGCCAGGAGGCAACTCAATGTGCTGCAGTAATGTAATACAGATGCAACCAGGGCATGCACCACAGTGGCCAGATCTCTTCTGCCCCCAAAAGGCCACAGTTGGCTAACCAGTTGAAGGTGGTTAAAGGGACTCCCAGCCATAGCTGCCATCTGCTTATCCAGCAGTAGACCTGGATCCCGGAGCACCCTCAACTATGGCTAGGGTTGCCAGGCCCCTACCCGGCCAACGGGGCTGTTTCTTCAAAGGGAGTGCAGTCCCATCCTCCAAGTTACTAGATAATAGAAGACCTAATGTAGCATACCATCACAGATCAAATGTACTTTCAGGCCACCGCAAGTACTTGCACCAAGTCTCAGTAACAGTTTCATTATTCAGTGGTGTGAAAATAAAACATCAGCACAGAAAAACATGTAGGAAATGTTGCATTCATAAGAGTATTACAAATGTATTATTTTTTTAAAAAATCCTGTCCTTCCTCCCACATGCCCATGTTGGCATACCTGGGTTGTCAATCCACCCTGTAAAGTAGGTTGAGAGCCTGTGACTTGAGCAATTGCCCCTTTAGCCCCTTCCCATGAGTTTCATAATTCAGTAATACTAGACAGAAATGTCCCAAGACACTTTGGGAATGGGGTGGAACATCCAGCACTCACCCTTGGTAGGAAAAAAAATACAGCAAACTCAATAATTGGTGGAGGTTTTGCCCTTTACTTGTACCTCCAATCCGCTTCCTGCACCCAGCCTACCAAAATATTTGTGCCAAGGATGACTTCAGGATTCTCCGGCCAAACCCAACCTCCTCTTTGGAAACTCCCACTGGCTGAAGTGAATAAGGTAGATTGTAAATCTAGCAATTCTTGACCTGGCCCTTAGAAGTCACTGAGAATTCCTGCTTTAAGATTTTGTCATAATCATGGCCAAATGGGCATTTTTAAAATTACCAGAGTAGGCATTTTAGAATCTTTTAGAGATCCCCATTTTCGGACTTTTAATTAGAAGATTGCCCAGAGTTAAAAACAAAACAAATATGTACTTGCCCTTTGGAACTATTGATCCAAAGGCTCCCAGTTAACAATTTGCTGGTGAAGCTGTGATGTTGTTTTACGAATATGGCAAAAGGCTCCTTCACGTTTGCTGTTTTCCTTCTGGGATACCTCCTTAATGCCGAATGTACAGGTTGGTTGATTTTAAAGCTAGCCCGTCACCTGTATTTCTTTTGACTTGAGATAAGGGCCCCATTCCTATCATGTGGTAAGGAATAAAATAATTTACAAGCAACATGCAAAGCTTCTCTGCCCCCCCTTTCACCCCCTCCCAGATCATCTAAAGAAAAGAGAAATAGTATTTATGGTCCAACTTCTGTTAACTGAAAGAACTGATTTTTCAGTCTAATTTTTATGTTCTACTAATCCATAATGTAGAGTGTAGATTCACTCCCTTAAAAAGATCAAAGGAGTAAGAAAACTGACAGATAGTTGACATGACTATAACAAGATTTTTGTAACACCTTTAAAATGAATGAATTAATTGCAGCATATGCTCTGGAGCGTGTGAAACAAAACCCAGCACTGGCTCACAAAAGCAATTAGTCTGAAATGTTTTATGACTCTTAGTTCTTTCGCAGTAGCAAATGCAGCCTAGCTATGTACCTGAAAGTTACACCTAATGCATAGATTAGTAATAAGGAAGAGAAATAAATATAGTTCCTTTGACAACAGGGTATATGTAATACATAACTGCAACACTGAAGGGGAGTTTACTCAAAAGGTATTAGAGGTGAAGGATGCATAGTATCACTCTTTTATATGTTTTACAAGAATACTGTGTAATTTTTAAAATTTGGCATTTCCCTTACTTGCCTTGAACTACAAGGAAAGGTGGGGTATAACTGCTTTGATAAATAAATAGAATTATTAAGGAGTGGTCTAGGAATATAATGTAATATCTAAATGTATAGATTATATATCCTACTTGGTTTATTTATTTATTTATTTATTTATCCTTCGACTTGATATACCGCCCTAACCCCCGTAGTTAGGGTCTCTGGGCGGTTTACAGTTCTTGGGTGCTAGTCACCTATATCGACCCTAACTACGGCCACACATTGGTACAAGGGGGGGGATTTCCCTACCGACACCCTGGTGAGAGCATTCCTCGGCTCGGCTCCTTCTGGCTGCACGATGTCTGGTGCTCAAGCAGACGGGGGGGGGGGGGGGGGGGGGGGAGGGGGTGCCACCTCTCAGCGTTGCGTCATCTCCTCCAATCGCCACCGCCGGTGCTCTGCTGCCGCCGCTGTTCTCGCCGTCGCCGCCACCATTGCTGCCGATGCCGCTGCTTCTCCATACACCTCCACAGACGGAGGGGGGGTGTTTAATGTTTAGATACTTTCCTTCTGCCCATTTTAGGAATGTTCTCATGACTATGTATTTCTGTTGATTAAGGATGTGACTTGGAAAAAAGTAATTACATCTTTTCAATCAAAAACATTGGTTCCTAAAGCAGTTTACAGGAATTAAAAACAAACACAGTAAACAGAAGTTATAATTCTAATGTTACCTCAGGGCCTAATTATGTGATACATTTCCCCAGGGCTATTTTGGGGCAGGAACGCACAGGAACAGAGTTCCGGCTGGCTTCAGAGTTGGCCACGCCCACTACAGCCAAAACCTCTACGTACGTGGCTACAGAGGGAAGGCCTGGAGAGTGACACCACCACCCCCGGCGACTCCGAGGCAGGCGGGCCAGGGAGGGCTCTGGAAGGATCAAGGAGGCATTTAAATGCCTCCCCGTGCCTTCCCCGGCCTGTCCAAGGGCCGGCTTTCCCAGGCAAGCCAAGGGAAGGCAATTTAAACGGCCTTCCCTTCAAGGGGGGCTTGCCCAGGCTCCCCACAGCCACAGGGCGCCTGGGCAAGCCAAGGGAAGGCATGGGGTGTGGCCTAATATGCTAATGAGCTGTACTGTTGTGGGTGTAGCCTGATATGCTAATGGATTTCTGCTTTTGAGTGTGGCCTATTATACTAATGAGTTCCTGCATTTCCCCCAGGTATGGCCCAAGGATGGCTTGGTCAATATCATCTGGGTGTTCCATGCCTCCCAGAAGGATGTGGTCCTAATTTAGATCTGGAAGAAAGGGCTTCAGCCCCCCCCCCTGCCATTTTCCTGACCTTAAATGACCTAAAGGAGCTGTTATTTGTCTCACTGGGGGACCTTAATGTTATGGGCTACATGTTAGTTTCCCCAGTGGAATAAATATCAGCTCTGCAGGGCCATTTCAGGTTGAGAAAACAGCATAGGGGAGAAAGGCTCAAGTTGCCTCTCCTGACACACCAGAGGAAGCAGAAAACTCCCTGACTCTGTCTGTCAACATGGATTGTGAAGTTAGGCCCTCAGTCCAAGCACCGTGGAAGGGTGCTTGGCCTCAGGGCTGGATTGGTGCCCCTCCGCCCTTCCACTGGTGTGTGGGAAAGACTTTAAGACTCAATAAGTGCTGAAGGTGAAATAAGAGATTAAAACTTCAGTTTTCTTCCAGACCAGACCCAAGGTCAGACCCCACAACTACATTAAATATAAACTTAAATATATATATATTTATTCAACACTAAGTAAAGGTAAAGGTTTCCCTTGCTCAAAAGCCAGTCGAATCCAACTCTAGGGGGCGGTGCTCATCTCCATTTCCAAGCCAAAGTGCCAGCATTGTCCGAAGACTTCTCCATGGTCATGTGGCCCACATGACTAAATGCCAAGGTGCACAGAAACCTATTCATCTACTTGCAATTTCTTGCCTTCAAACTGCTATGTTGGCAGGAGCCGGGGTCAGAGACGGGAGCTCACTCCATCATGCGGCACTAGGGTCTTGAACTCCCAAGCTACAGATCTTCCGGTCTGCGGCTCAGCCACCGTGGCCCTACAGCACCAAGTAGCAGTAAGCAATATAAGCAAAAACAAAAACAAAACCCTCAGTGGTGCCCCCATTCCCTTGGTGCCCTAAGCACCTGCTTATTTTGCTAAATGATTAATCCAGGGCTGCCTGGCCTGCTGCCCCTTCCTGTGCTGGCCTCCCTGGGAATGGATGGATAGATGGGTGCAGGTTGCAGACAGGCATGTACAAGGATGATGCAAAAGATGGATGCAGAGGGAGACAGATATAAACAGGGTCTGTCCCATCTTGTACTCTGAGCCATTCTCTGTTGCATAACGTGAATTCCAAATAGCGCACCCGAATACCCGTGGCTTCCAGAAATGGTTTAAAAGGCCAGAGAACACTTGTGTTTGAACAGCTGAGGTTTATTTATGCACCATACTCTCCATAACCTGTACTTTTAAAATATGTGTATACTGTAGTTTTCATTGACCAGGAAGATGCAAGTTCTGTTTTGCACCGATATAAACGATTCAATTCTGGACGCTTGGAAGAGGTGATTAGTGGAAACCTTGAACGAGAGTGCTTGGAAGAAAAATGCAGCTTTGAGGAAGCAAGAGAAGTCTTTGAAAACCAAGAGAAAACGGTGAGCTTGTAGGTCCAACTTATCCAGCAACCCTGTTGCCCATGGTGGCCGAGGAAATTGCCCTGAAAGGCCTCCCTTGTTGTTGCTGTCACAGGAACTGGTACACTGCCTCTGAATATGGGAGTTCCATTTACCCATCATGTTTATTAACCATTGATGGACCTATCTTCCAATATTTTGTCTAATTGTCTTTTAAATCCATCTATGCTATTGACTGTCACTTCATCCTGTGGCAATGAATTCCACAAGCTAATTAAATATGGCACAAATAAAGCCCCTCTTTCTTCCAAAGGCCGTCAACTTTGCCACCGGATTCTAATTGGGAGGGGGAAAATGCTTGCATTTTATTAAATACAAGACGGGGTCCCGCGATACTCGCGGGGGGGGGGAGAAGAGCTCCGTCTCCTCCATCCCCCCCGCTCGATCTCCCCGAGGAGGCGGCGGTGAGGTCAGCTACAGAGCGTTCCGTGCGCATGCGCATGGAACGCTCTTGCACTTTCGGGGGGATTTAAACATCCCCCCGAAATTTTTTCTACTTTTAGCATTTTTGTGCACACGTGGGGACTGGCCCACGTATGCACAAACCTCCCCCTCCCCCCCAAGTGCCCCCGGAGCACTGATTTAGCGATCCGCACTCCGGGGGCAACTTGGCTATTAGATATATAGATAGCTGCATTCTAGGGGCATGGTTATTATAGTGTCTGTCCTACTCTATATTGTTGGTTTATTTGTACAGGTGTAGTTAAATTGCACTGGGGAAAAAATATGGTCCTATACCCAGGGCAGGCCCCAGCTTATTTTGCACCCTAGGTGAGGATCCCTTCTGGCGCCCCCCCCCCTCCTGTGCACCCACCAATTCCCAAAAATAAATGCATTTTAGGAAGAATGAAAAACACAAATAATCAAGAAACTCCCAGAGTACTGGGCGGGGTGCAGTTTGGCGCTCCTAAGGGCCGGCCCACTCTAGGCGATCACCTAGTTCGCCTAGTGAGTGAGCCGGCCCTGCCTATACCTGGATAATGCATATTGTGCAGTATGAAAAACTGAATTATATGACCTGTACACATAGAGCAAATATGCTCAATTTCTCATAGCTTACATTATTGTGCAGCACAATTTTGTATATTACTGGTTTTGCCAGTCGTGGGGGAGGTCAAGTAATGCTCAATGAACACCCCCCCCCCCGTGGCAGCACTTATTTTCTGCCAGGGTTTGCACTGCTATGGAACTACTGCACATACATAGTGCTATTTCAGATCTGACCTGTTTACATAGAATCACATAGCAGGAACCAATCCATGCAATAAACATACTACACATGTCCACTCTAATTAAGAAACAAGGGAAAAGTTTGGTTTATACTTAATGAGTGGCTTTTCTGCTAGTGTTTACCTTTTAATTCAATTCTAATATGTTCCTTGCAGGTGGAATTTTGGAATGCATATATTGGTAAGTGAAAGTTTATCACCTTACTTCAAATACATTATATTGCTGTGTATTCCTTACAGAAAATGTGCATTCAGTAGTAGTAATGAAAAGACAACAACCACTATGTGAAAGAAGCTGGCTATATGGTCAAACTTTTGGGACCATCGCTAAGCATAGGGCTAGCTAAAACAGTACTTTAGAAAACTAGGATGTTGGTTGGTATGTGGCTCTGCCTATAGGGAACAGCCTTGATTTGAATGAATACAGTTTCAGAAAACTGTCACAAATAATCATTTCATGTACAACTATACCTTTTGGTTATACTGACATTTTGAAAATTTCATAATTCCTACGAGGATGCTCATTATAGTTGGGTATGATGATCTGTGATGCCAAGAGATCAGAAAAAGTAGATTCTCAAGGGCATATTAATTGAATTATAGCCTCCGCCCCTTTACTGTGGGGGCTTTCCATATAGGGACAAATCCCTGTGTAGAAGTAGCTGGAGACAACAGATTATGAGCAAGTCTATGGGTCTTCTTCAGGGCAAGGATCATGATAATGATACTGCTCATGGACTTTCTGAGTTACTATTTAACCATTCATTTCCAAGATGGAGATCAATGCGAGTCAAACCCTTGCACAAATGGAGGGAAATGTGAGGATCAAGTTGGTTACTACATCTGTTGGTGCCTAGCTGGTTATGAAGGAAAGAACTGTGAATTAGGTACGTAAAAGGTGGAATTCAATACTTGTTTGGACTGTCTAGTTATTTTAAATAACAGGCCCAGCCTACCTAGTTAATTATTTGGGGGGGTCTCATTCAACCTTTTATTTGTGGTAATAAAAAACAACGTTTGTGTGTGCTATCAAGTCACAGCAAGGGGCTTTTGAGGGAAGTGAGAAGCAGAGCTGGTTTGCCATTGCCTTCCTCCTTGGTGGTCTCCTTTTCAAGTACTGTCCTTGCTTAGTTTCCAAGATCTGATGAGATAGGGATATAATATGCTGCCTTCCCTCCTCCCCCAGAAAACAATAGACACGTTGCATTTAGTCATATCTGTCTCATTTACAGTCAACCTTTCCCACAGAGAAACAACAGGAAAAAAATACAATCCAGTAGCAGAAACCAACATGATTTTGGGGGTATAAGTTTTTGAGAGCCAAAGCTCCCTTCCTCTGATACAAGTCAACAAAAACAAAAGGAAATATCTGCATGCAAGAAAGACACATGGATTTTGTCCACTCTTCACTGCAGCCCCCTCTGACAACTGGTTTCTAGGACCTGTGCAGAGGAATAGCTCTAAGGGTTGGCAGGATGGAGGGAGCTGTTGTGTCCACTGACCGCCACCGGAGGTCAGGGCATATACCCGAGCTTCAGTCTGGGAAGACAATGGGGACTAGGATCCTAGTCCCTCCACTGGGGAACCAATGGGAGCCATGGCGGGAGATTCAAACCCACCAATGGTGACCAAGGGGTGGTCCCCAGGTGTGTATATAGTTGGCCTGCCGGCCGTTTGTCTTTGTCTTGTTGTGTGCCTAATAAAGCGTGCTATGCACCACGTCGTTGTCTGTCGTCGATCCATGCGGCTCCCACTACACAATAGGAGCAAGGAAGGACAAGGGGATAATGTGATCCACACACACACACCCCCAGCAGCCTGTGGAACAGGAAGGAGGAGTGCTTTTAACTTCCTGTCCCTCCTCAGCACAGCACCTCCAACTCATGAGGCTATTTATCCTCATCCAGTCAGGAAGAAGTGCAGCGAAGGGGAAGAACAGAGGGAAACTATACCTTCTGTATGAGGTGTGGTAGGACACCACCGGAGTTCCCTCTAAGCTGAGTTAGTGTGAGCTAGCTCACAGTTTTTTTAGCCTCTAGCTCATACAGTTTTGTCTTCGCTCAGGAAGGATGGGGCTCCAGAGCAAACTAATTTATGCCGTCGCCAAATCGTTTGCTCACAGCTTTAATGCCAGTAGCTCACAAAGTAGAATTTTTGCTCAGAAGACTCCACAGCTTAGAAAGAGCATTGGACACCACCCTGAGATTTAGAACTCCTGTCCTGTGTATTGGGAAATGGGTGTCCCATTGCTCAGTACCATGGGTGCAAAGTAACGAGCTATCTTAAAGAACAGCAATGTGTTAAGCATTCAGCATTAGTGTGGAAAGACTATACAGGATGTTGGTTAAGGATGAAATAGAATCTGGGTGCTAGAAGCCAAGATCTGGCTCACACATGCAGCTGTGTTTCTTCAAGCTTGAGAAGCAACAGAATGTGTGAACTAACTATTTAAATATGCCACATTTCCAAAGATCTGAAAGTTCTGTCTTTCATGGAGAGACATACAAATATGCTGGGTTTTGTTTATTTTATTTTAATATGGTGTCACTTGTACCTTTTAGCCCCACCCCACCCATTTTCATTGCTGGCATTCCCAACTTTTTTCATTTATATGCAACCAACAATAGCAGCAAAAAAGCTGTTAACATTGCATACATTTAAAGGGACCAGTTCAGTATTAGGAAATTTAAAAATGGCATGAAATTAGACTCACAGATCCTTTTCATGCAAGGAAGAATTGGAACTGAAAAAAAAGATTATATTATAAAAGATTAAAGAAGAGCTAATCCCAATTTTTGAGTTGTTGGCTAATGAGGTGAGTGAAAAAGAGATTCTCAAATCAAAACAGGAAAGGTGAGAAATTTGATAGCATCCTTACTCTGGTGGTGTTAGATGACCTAAACCACTTACCTGAGAGAGCCAGTTTGGTGTAGTGGTTAGGAGCGTGGACTCTAATCTGGGAGAATGGGTTTGATTCCCCACTCCTCCACATGCAGCTGCTGGTGTGACCTTGGGTCAGTCACAAGTTCTTTCAGAGCTGTTCTCTCAAGGACAGTTCTAGACAGAGCTCTCTCAGCCCTACCTACCTCACAGGGTGACTGCTGTGGGGAGGGGAAGGGAAAGGGATTGTAAACCACTCTGAGACTCCTTCCGGTAGTGAAGGGTGGGGTATAAATCCAATGTCTTCGTCCTCCTCCCCCTACCTGGCTTCATGCAACAGACATACATGAATGAACTACTGGACCCAAATCTAACTGTTCTATTGCAGACCAACTAACCCTGCTAGGTGACTGATGGCAGGTCATTTTCCCTGTTCCCAGTTTTCCTTTAAAGATTCTTAAAGGAGCCATCATCTTTAATTGTATTTAATTCCTCTCCCTGTCAGATGCTACTTGTGCAACAAAGAACGGAGGATGCAAGCAATTCTGCAAGAATAGCCCATCGGGAGGAGTGATCTGTTCCTGCATCTCTGGTTACAAGCTTGGGGCAGACCAGAAGTCCTGTGAACCAGCAGGTAAAAGATTAGATGTAGTTTTTGATAGCAGTTTGTGAATTTTGCAGCAGAATGACCCTTCCAGATAGATACCTCGCTGAGCAAAATTTCCCTTTGAATAAATTTCCCTCTGGAATGACTAAAAAGTAATTTGCTTTCAGGAAATGCATTTGGGGTTTGCTTCCCAAATAAATATGCCAGGTTGAAATGGACACCATCCAGTAGTTAGCTTCAAATGGCATTCCAGAATCTGCATCACTGGTGCTGGCGTGAGTGGTTTTGGCTTTTTCTAACAGTAGCTGAAGCACTACAGAACCTGCAAAAGTAGATTGAGCAGCGACTGCGGCAGGACCAGAGGCAGGCCGGGCAAAGAATGTGAATGGTTGAAGGGAGCAACGCTCACCCCCATGCTGTTATGTCACAGCCAGAAATTTCACTCTGGGGGATCCCTGTGTGGCCTTAAGTCTCTATCATGCTGCTGTAACCTGTCTTCCAGGCTAGCTTTGACGCTAAACAATATTGAGCGTTGCAAAGCACTTTACATGCCGGAAGGTGCTATGGCAATCATTAATAATAATAAATGTCTGGCCAAGCAGAATATTTCTGTGCAATATATTTCCAAGCGCTTTTAATTGCTCCACTTACTGACTTACAAGGGTTCCCTGTGGCACCATAATTTTAAGCCTCAGAAATATGAAAGTGTGAAGTCTTGCCACTTTCCATCACCTTGAGAGGAAGATGACTGTTCCCATAGTTATCCTTCTTCCCTTTTTCCTCTTCGTTTGTCATAACACTGAAGTCTGACATGCAACTCCACCAAAGAACTCAGGTACAGAATGGTATAACAAATTCTAGAGATGGCTGTGTTCGTCTGTTGCCTAGAGGCGAGTCTTGTGGTTCACTAAAAGACAGAAGTAGATGAACGCACGAAGCTCCCTTATACCAAGTCAGACCATTAGTCTATCAAGATCACTATTGTCTACTCTGACTGGTAGCAGCTCTCCGGGGTATCAGGTAGAGGTCTTTTGTGTCACTTACTACATGCTCCTCGTAACTGGAAAAGCCAGGGATGAACCTGGGACCTCCCACTAAGCCGTGGCCCTCCCCAGATATTGATATAATTAGAATGGGGCTGCCCACCCAGTGGCAGTCCCCTTTTAAGATCTTTCTCTCCTCCATCCTTATTATTTAGGCATGCATACTTGGGCTGCCACTTGATTAAATATGAACATAGAAGTCAGCCTTATATCAAGTGAGACGGTTGGTCAACCTAGCACAGTTCTGTCCATTCTGACTGGCAGTAGCTTCCAAGGGTTTCAGGCAGCAAAAGTCCTTCCCTATCCAATATCCTTGAGCTGAAGATGCCAGGAATTGAACCTGGTATCTTGTGCACGCAAAACATGCACTCTACAATTGAGCCTCAAAGCTTCTCCCAGTGCTGCAAAGAAACCTGTTTAACCATTTAAGGGTCAAGTGTCACTGAGAGCCATTAAGAGTGGGAGAGAAGGTCATATCTGGGTTGCTAGCACTGGAGAGCTGGCAGCCAACTCAGGGTCCTCCAAAGCAGGAAGAGATCCGGAAAGGGCTGCCAAGAGGGGTGGGGGAATTGCCTTTCCTTATCTTAAATATGATGGGGAAGAGGGAGAACACAACACAGGGCTGCCATTTTTGGCAGCAGGTCAGTGTCCAGCGTGATGTCCGTGTCCTCCCGTAGGCTAATAAACCTACTACAGTGTGAGCTTGCATGGGCAGGGGCCGCCTTGTCAGATGAATGAAAGATTTTCTATTCTAATTGCAGTGCCCTTTCCTTGTGGAAGGATTACAGCTCCAGAGGCGGTCAACAAACTCACCCGTTCCATCAACACATTTGACAACTGGTCCTTCACCAATGATACAGACGGTGTTGTGAAAGACAACAGCACTGAGATCGTTCCCCAGTCAGAAACCAAAATTCGAGTGGTTGGGGGCAGAAACAGCAAGAAAGGCGAAGTACCTTGGCAGGTAACATGATTAACCACCAGTAGTTTTGTACTACTGAGAGTTGCAAACGGTCCACATCATAAACTGTTGTTAGCTGCCCTGAGCTATTGGATAGGGCGGGATAGAAATCGCAAAAATAATAAATAAATAAATAAATAAACATAAGATGATCCTTGCTAGACCAGACGAGTGGTCCATCTAGTCCAGCATCCTGTTTCACACAGTAGGCACTGGAGGGACAAAAACACACAGCACAGTGGCCAACGCCTTCCCGTGAAGTTGCCTTTCAGCAGTGGGCTTCAGAGGTTTACTGCCTCTGAACTTGAAGGTTCCCTTTACTAACCATGGCTAGGAGCCATTTGTGGACCTCTCCTCCATGAATTTTCCCAACCCCCTTTAAAGGCATCTATGCTCATGGCCATCACTACCTTCTCTGGCAGTGAATCCCACAATTTAATTACTCATTGATTAAAGCTGTGGTTCCTTTTCTTTCTCCTATACCTATTGTCCATTAACTTCATTGGGTGCCCCCAAGTTCTATTAAGGGAGAGAAAGAAACAGCTCCCTCTAGGTCACTGCCACTGCCAGGTCTGCCTTTTTTCATCTGAGGCAGGTCAGGCAGTTGGCCCCATACCTCACCCCCCCCCCTGATCTGGTTGCAACAGTCACTTCCACATTAGATTATTGTAATTCTCTCTACGTGGGGCTTCCCTTGACTCTGCTCTGGAAGCAGCTAGCGCAGAACGCAGTGGCACGAGTGTTGATGTCGCTGCCTGTGCGGGCGTGACCTGCACTGGCTGTCTATTGAATACTGGATCCGTTTCAAGGTGTTGGTGACTACCTTTAAAGCCCTATACAGCCAGGGACCTGCATATCTTCAAGGCTGCCTCTCCCCATATGAGCCCTGTAGAACAGTGCGTTCTACAAACCTGCACTTCCTGGTAGTCCCTGGCCCTAGTAGGGTTGCCAAGTCGATCTTCTGCCGGAGCGGGGGGCTCCCGGCCGGCGTCTGGTGTGTGCACGTGCGCCGCATGCACATCACCCAGAAGTGACGTGACGACGGCAGGGAAGCCGTCTATGGTTTTCCCTCGTATGGCCATGGCCCCGCCCCCAGCGTGCCCGGCGTGGTCGCGTCACTTCCGGGAGACGCGCACGTCGGGGTGGAGTTCCCCCGGGGACCTGATCGTGGCAGCGGGGAATGGGCCTCTGGGGCGGGGGTTTCCCCACCCCCTGGGGGGACTTGGGAAGCCTAGGCCCTAGGGATGTCCGACTTGCTTCAACTAGGGAGCCAGGGCCCTGCCTGGTAGAATGAGCTACCTTATGAGATCAGGGCCCTGTGGGACCTATTACAGTTCTGCAGAGCCTGCAAGACCGAGCTCTTCCACCAGGCCTTTAGCTGAGGCAGCGGGCATCCACTTTGATTTGTCCTCCCCGCAGATCCTAGAAGCCAGATTGGGACCACACTATAATCTGTGAAGTGTGTCGTTGTATGGAATGCTGCTGATTTTATTGGTTTAATGCTGTTGATTTTAATTATTCCAATGGATTAATTGTAGCCCTATGTGTTGGTACCCGCCCTGAGCCTACAATGTGGGGAAGGCGGGATATAAGTCTAATAAAATATAAATAAATAAATATCCCCTTTCTACATTCCATGCATAATTTTGTAAACCCTTAAAGATGGATAGCTGTGTTAAAGACTAACAAAATTTGTGGCAGGGTAGGAGCTTTTGTGAGTCACTGCTCACTTCTTCTGATACAGCTAGACTGACCCACTGTTCTATATAACCCTCCATTCTATCTTGCCTTAGCCTTAAAAATCTCAGACTCGCCAGCCTTTCCTCATCATCTTGGTTACCCTCTTCTGTAAGTTTTTCCTGGAATACCCTTTTAGAAATATGGCAGCCAAAACTATGCACAGTATTCCAACTGAGGCTGCACCAAGGGCATTACAGTATTTGCCATTTTATTCTCAGCCCCCTTCCTGTAATCCCCAACATGGGTTTTACCTTTTTCACTGCCGCTACATACTGGGTTGCCATTTTAATTGAGCTGTCACTATAACTCTATCAGGTGGCTGCAGTAGAATGGGTTCTCTAGTGGCTACAGGAAGGCTCCTAAATCCAAGCCTGACTTAAAGCAGCCTCTGGGAAATTAGGTCAATGCAAAAGGAAGATATCAACACTAAGCAGGTGGTCTTGTACAATTATATACTGCATCACAATTACAGCTGGCAGTTTCCAGCAGTGTGTGTGTGTGGGGGGGGTACTACTTTAAATTGTGTGAATAAATGATGAAAGTTAAGAAAAGGTGTGTGCACTTGATTTTGCATAATTTATCCTACTAGCCACAAAGCAAGGAAGGGATCTTGATGCTGATCACTGAAGGATCGCACTTGGATGCTACAAATCTGCTTCAAAGGGAATCCTCCAGTTCCTGTGATTTCCCCCCCAGGGACCGACCTCTCTTTATTCCTTGCAAATAAGGAGTGCTAATTCTCTACCATTTTAAACTAATAATAATAAAGCTGAGATTTAGTTGCAGGGTTATGACTCAGTGCTAGATCCCAAATGCTACAGACTGGCCAAGTCCACCACTTTATGGTGTCTCCTTACTGTGATTATCATGACATCAAATAACTAATTTTATTATCTTTTGAAATAGCAATCAATTAATCCTAAATGGATTACCTCAGACTGACAGCTGAAAGTTTGCCGCAGGAGAGTCCATGCAAAAGTGAAAACAAAATTCGAACAAGTTTTTCAAATACTGAGTTGGTTGGCTGTGGATTTTCAGCACGCATTTATAAATTTCAATAGGGGGGGGGAATCCTTTTTGGCTGAATTATGAGGATTTCCATGCAAACAAACAAACCGAAAAATTTACATCCACTGAAATATACAATATTGATGCATAAATTGAAGAGATTAAAAATCTTTGAGCCAGAATTTCTTTGAGTTTCATCCCACACCCCCATTTCATACCTACCCTAGTTAAACAACGGTTCCTACCTGGAGGGGGGAGATCTTGTACTTAAACTTTGGGAGAAAAATGCTGAACTTCTCCTCTGGTGTGTGCCACTCAGCCTCTGCTGCCCTCTAGAGGGCAAATACCACCCAAGCCACTTGATTTCCTCATCTACTGTGATCCACAGTAGCCGTTGTAGTTGAGTGCAGTAGGTTTGTTTTTTACCCCTTTGTCTCTGAGAAGAGATGAGTTCCTTGGCTTCAGGCCTCATGACTGCTCCATCTCTATCACAACTGTGAAATCCAAAAGGCTAGTTGCTCCAGAGCTACTGACAGCCACCTGGGCAAATTAATGTATCACCCCAGCTCCCACCACAGGATCACTTGAAATATCACATGATTTGCCTGGTGCCATGGGTCTCCCAAATGTTGTCTCTCTCTTTCTCTGCACCTCTTAGTGGCTCCTCTTTTTGTGTATTAGAGGTCGTTGCTCCTACACTGATGTCCACGAAGCCCAATCATATACATGTTGACTCAGACGTGAGTCCTGCTGTATTCAGTTATTCTTAGTGCCAAAACAAGTGACATACAAGGAGTCGTTAACTGGAGGTCCTGTTTCCCCCCCTTTTTTGAACATCAGGCCTGGAATGTTCTCAGAGAGCTGCTCTTGGGCAATCTGCACCCATAAATTTCCCCCAGTGGGACAAACTGTGGCTCCCCAGGGCTCTTTCAGGTTAAGCAAAAGGTACTGGGGGGGGGGAGCTTAACCCTCCTCTCCCCACATGCTGGCATCACTGATCCTAATTGAGTCTCCTTGTTTCTGATTGCTACATTGTTTTTAAAAAAGGTGGAATCTGTTATCATGGAACTTCAAGCACCTTATTTGGTCCGGCCCTTAGTTCTTCACAGGGTAGCTGGGAATGCCTGAAATGTTGTTCACATTGATGTTTACAAGCCCAGACAAATTTTTGTGAATGTCTAATATACATTTCCCACCTGTCAACACAGGATTCATGGGCACGAGTATCATATTTTGGTGACTGTCATGACTCACCAATGTATCAGTTTTTGAGGCATTCACAAAATGTATCTGGGATTGTCAGTGTTCACTTGCAAATAGCATGATTTGGCAAACTGTAGACCTTCACGATAATATGCACAAAACATGTGCTTTACCACCAAGCTGCCATAGATACAGCCCCCATCCATTATCAGAGTTGCACAACCCCTTTGAAAATGTACCATATCCAACGTTTGACTGCCATTCAGCCTAGTTTTATGACTTGCTCATGACCAGTGTTCCTTCTAAGCTGAGTTAGTGTGAGCTAGCTCATAGTTTTTTAGCCTCCAGCTCACAGATTTTGGTCTTAGCTCAGGAAGGGTGGCTCTGGAGCAAACTAGTTTATGCAGCAGCCAGATTGCTCGCTCACAACTTTAATGCCAGGAGCTCACAAAGTTGACTTTTTGCTCACAAGACTCCACAGCTTAGAGGGAGCATTGCTCATGACCTGGTGTGTTCCCTGCTCACAGGTTCATGTGCTTAACAATGAGCAGAAGGGATTCTGCGGGGGCTCGATCATCAATGAAAACTGGATCGTGACTGCAGCGCACTGCATTGCAGCTGGACCACATACTATTGTTGCAGGTAAATCAGTGGAATAACTCCAATATCAGGGTCTAGGGCTTTCCCTATGGAGAAACTGGGGTAAGATGCAAGGGATGCAAGAATCACAATATGGTTTTATGGGCTTTTGAACATGGGACTAGCAGTGGGCTCACCTTTCCCACGTGGCCCTCGTGTAAAAGAAAAATGTCACTCTTGAGCATGTACAATTCTCCTTAATACTGCATCTCCAAATCCCAGTTTGGTGTAGTGGTTAAGTGTGTGGACTCTAATCTGGGAGAACCGGGTTTGATTCCCCACTCCTCCACTTGCACCTGCTGGGTGACCGTGGGCAAGCCATAGTTCTGTCAGAGCTGTTCTTGAAAGAGCAGTTCTTGAAAGAGCTCTCTGAGCCCCACTTACCTCACAGGGTGTCTGTTGTGGGGAGGGGAAAGGCGTTTGTAAGCCACTCTGAGAGTATGAAGAGCCGGGTATAAATCCAATCTCTTATCTTCTTCAATTTAAAAACAATCAACAGAAATCTTGGGACCAGTTTTAGCTAGAAGCACAAACTCAGTACACTTGGTGCCAGCCAAATATTATGTGGGGGAAAGGGGTTCCATAATTACAGTGGCACTATAGGAAAGGATCTGTCTTCTGTGTGTCGCTCCCCCCCCCCCATTCCAGGTAACTGTGGCACATGATTTGAGACTTCAGGTGATTGCAGAAATTAGGCATGGACATCTGGGACTGGGCAATCCTTTAAAAACGACACCCGTATGTCTCAGAGGTCACTGCTGCAGGCATGTAAGGCATTTCATGTGGATTCCCACTTGTGAACTCTCACAGGGAATATGGGGGGACTCAAAAGTTCTGGGGCCCTCAACCATCCCTAAGCCTTCCCAGCTTCACTTGCTAGCTATTAATACAATGAGGGACCCAATGGATCTTTGCCTGAGAGAGCAAAGCACTTCCAATAATAAACATGGAATGTCCATTTTTCTCTCTTTTTTGGTATTTGTGTCATGGCTGACTTCTGGCAACGCCTAGTGGGCTGGGAGGCAAGGATGTCCAGAGAGGTGGCTTGCTGCCTGCCTCTGTGTCATGGCCCTGGTATTCCATGGAGGTCTCCCATCCAAGTACTTACCAGCGTTGGCCCTGCTTAGCTTCCAAGATCTGATGAGACTGGGCTTGCCTGGGCTATCTAAGTCGCAGCTCTTTCTCTCTTTAATGCAATTGTGATGGCTCACTTACCAGGTGAACTCCACACAGAGGAAGATGACCACACTGAACAGTACCGCAGAGTGGTAAGGATAATCCCTTATCCCGCATACAACAGCAGCCTGAGGTACCACAACGACATTGCCCTCCTTGAACTGGATTCGCCACTAGAGCTGAATAGTTATGTCACACCTGTTTGCATAGCAGACAAGGATTTCACCAACAGCCTTCTGAAGTTTGGAGCAAGCACTGTGAGCGGCTGGGGAAGGCTGGCACACCAAGGGCGGGAGGCAAGCATCCTCCAGGTCCTGAAAGTTCAGTTGATTGACCGGGCCACCTGCTTGAGGAGCACCAGGTTCTCCATCGTGTCCAGCATGTTCTGTGCAGGGCATCCGTACGAGGCAAAGGATACATGCCAAGGAGACAGTGGAGGTCCACATGCCACGGAAATGGAAGGCACCTGGTTTCTGACCGGGATAACCAGCTGGGGGGAGCAGTGTGCCATGAAAGACAAATACGGCATCTACACCAGAGTTGCAAGATATGTCAAGTGGATCAGAGACACAACCAGGCATACCTGAGGCCAGAGCCAAAGTATTTTTACTCCTTTCCAAAGGATTGTCTGCTTGTGGAGAAGGGAAAATTTAAACAAATCCTAATCTGTATTCTCAAATAATTCCAGAGGGATAGCTGCACAATCCGGCTGCAGCAAAAATACACAGGAATCTTGTGTCACCTTAAACACATATTTTTGTTCTAGCATTTGTGGGTGCACTTCATCAGATGGAAGCAGTCCACATGCATGTGGATTCTAGTCCACAAGAGTTTATGCTAGAATAAAAATTTGCTAGTCTTTAAAGTGCCCCATGACTCCTACTTAACTTCTGAAATAGTTTCACCGATTACTTTTTCTAAACATTGAGAACATCTCTTTTAGAAACAAAGTTTACACATGAGTTTGTACCAACCCCCCCCCCCCAAAACACAACTTCAGATACCCATCTCTTTAAAAAAAATTAAGGCACCTCCCTCAGACGGCTGTTGTGAGGCTGAACACATTGTAGAGAACTTTGGAAAATCAGAATTGCAAATGAATCCAGCACTCAATGTATCAATGTGTTGTAATAAATGTCAATGAACTCATAAATAAATTGCAACCTGAGAGGTTGTGGACTAAGGGCAGCAGCAAACTCGCCACACAAAATGAAACTTCTTATATACATTTCTTTATTTACCAATTTGCAATATATATATATATATATATTTAAATATATATTTAACACATTTTTACAGGTACATTTACAGTTTACATAATTTAAATTTATAGACAAGGGAACCTTTGTCCCCCCCCAGTGTAGCTTAAAGTACCATATAATATTTGCAGCGCAAGTGGTAAACCTGTCTACTTTAAGATGTCAAACGCTTTGTGCAAATTTTAAAAGTCTAAGACTGTACATTCAGATTTGCAGACCTAGGCAATTTCATAAATAAAAGATTTTCAGATTCAGAACTAGGAAGATTAAAAGACCAAGATGAGTCAGGATGGGCACAATGTGGTTGTCCAGATAAAATATTTCAGTGAGAGGTTAAAAAATGCAGCCTTTGCAGCAGGACCGACTGGCCCTTGTGCCGTGAGCTCTCTACCCCTTTGTTACAAGTCAGACAAGAGAACTGCTTTTAAAAGGAAATCTGTATAGTTCTAAACACAAAAACAACTGAAATCATCCAACAGGAATCCTTCCGGGCTTAGTGATATTTCAAATGACATATCATATAATGGATAAATGGGCTCACATTCACTTTGGGTGGTGTATGAAGTATAACACAGAGCATTGAATTATCTGGGACCCATCAGAATGTGTAAGTGCTTGACTGCAAAATGTATTACATGATCAACATGAGTTTGCTACTATAAAACCACCCAAAAATATGTTCATGACATAAACAAACTTTGTGGTACCACTTGAAATCTGTAGTTCACAAACTAAAAGTCAGATTTCTTTTTAAAGTTCTTTTTCTCCTCCGGCCCACAAGTATAATAAAGCAGCCAACTGAGGCTATTTTTGGTTGCTTTCATGCTACTCATTTTCCATCCTGGATTGTTGTGAGTGGGCTCACCACAACACCTCTCCTATTTATTGATGCCACTGCAAATGAGATTTGTAGACATCCAACCACCTTTACATACACACAACAGATACACGCACGCACACACACACACAGAGAAGGAAAAATACACGGGCAAAGCATAAAGACATGATGTAAACTTCATTAAAAGAAGACCATCCCAATATCAGGCTACTCTCAATAAAGACGGTGAAAAGTACAGTCTTACAACAAGTTCATTATTTTTAGTGCAAAAGTGGACACTAAACTCAAGTTATGGCACACATCGTCTAAAAGACCAGAAAGCGTTCAATGTAAACGTGGATTCATTGCTAAATAGCTTAGGAATACTGGTGAACTCAAAGTGACCTCTGACAATCCTGAGTTGTCAAATCAATAAGGTCTTGAACCACAGCCCACAGATGACATGGGCTCTGAATCAGACCCCTAGTGCAAAAGGAGAACCCGCTCCTTCTTAGTGTTATTGCATCACCATGCACCATCCAGCACCTCAAAATAGTCTATATGTAGATGTCATTAGAGTTTATTCGCACCCATTCCAGAAAAAGAATCAACCCAACTAGAAAATGTAGCTTATTACGACTAGTATTACATTTGTGAACCTAGTCAAGCGCAGTCAACCACACCAGTGTGAGGTTGCGAAATAAGGTAGAGCTTTTTATGCCTATGAACAGAAGTTATTGGGCATCAGAACAACAAAAAGGGAAATAATTAAATTAGTTGTCAAATGAAATTTAGTGGATGTCATGGTGAGGAGGAAAGAAGTCCCATCAGCACGTCAAAACAAAGTGGTTCAGAATTGTCCACTGGTGGGTGAAAAAAAATGAAAACATCAAAAGAATGGCTTCTGCTGATGGTCACGTTCAATGTTGGTGAAGCTGTGATGTGCAGCGAATGTTGATGGGTGACAGTACAGGGGAACTCCAACCCCTGAATGCTCCCTCTTTCTCGGAAACAACCATTTCAAACCTCCACTGTAGCATTCAAAAATGACATGACATTAGTTCTCCCTCCAAAGTTCAGGGGGAGCTTAATTTTCTCGTCTTATAAGGGGCAGCGTCTACAAAGCAACAAAGAGGGATGTTAAGATTAGGAGGACCATATCCCAAGAGTACACAGATTCTGATTACCATGCAGCATTCTTATATGTCACAACCACACCCTCTGGCCAAAGTGAAAAACCAATAATCATTAGGGAATGGTTCCAAAATTCATCAGATTTTTCCACATGGATTTTGGAGCTCCAAATTACCTTTTTTGATTCGCAAAGAACTGAAGCCTCCCTTGTGCAGATTTTTTTTTAAAAAAATTCAAAGTTTATACAGATTACTGCTTGCTATTGTTTCAAGTCACGAGTGTCTTTGTTCCCCTCTTTGACACTGATGGGTCAGTGTGCTTTCATAAAACACTGAAAACAGGCATACTGATGCCAACATACATGATTCTTTTACTGATGCATTGGAGTATGCATGCACAAAACACAACATGAAAAGAATCTTGATGCAATCATATGTAAGATCACATCAGGATTCACCAGTGTGAATAAGTGCACAGGTAGAAAAGGGGATGGGGTGGGGATGCATATCAACAAAAAGAACTGAAAGCTACAGCAGACAGCACATGACTCCAGAATTATTTTTAGAAATTCTCTATAAGTTAAACCAATATTAAGGCAGAGCAGAAGCAGTGCAAAGAGAAATTCCAGAACATCAGAGGGTGAGAATGGTGGGAAACCCATTCATCCCTAATAATCATGGATGTCAAATGGGAGATTTAGCTAAATAAGAACCAGTGTTTCCCAAATGACTCAGTGCTATTGCTTCTCTGTAATCAAAGTATGAGACACGGAGTGAAGAGAGGAACAAGCCACTAGGATATTTTTCTGTTTCAAAAGCCAGCAAACAACAAGTAAATCCAAACATCTTTGCATTCCATTGATACACTGTAAGTTAAGGCTACTTTGCAAAAGTTAGTGACTTAAATCTTTAAAGTGCATTAAAAGTGCAATCCACTTTTGCTGTATTTCCGATTGGCTACATATGCCCCCCCTTGTACTTGCAAATTTTCTCAGTCATGCTTGTGAAAGTTTGAGAGACTTTCCCACTAAAACACAAGGGCAGCTAGCTCTTGTTACTGAAGGCCTGAATGTACAAATGTCCAAAAAAACCCACAGCATTGGTCTAAATCCTTTCTAAGAGACAAAGCTATAAAGCCAACAATACGTATCATGATCAGCCCATTAAGCATTACTGATTTCTGACAGGGAATGTACACTATGTTCCCACTGGGATGCTGTCCAATGAGGCCATACTTTCTTAGGTGCCTAGGATAGTGGACATATTTTATGGTGAATACACACACAACACTACAACGCTGAGGCCTTACAAAGAATGCTGTTTACGGACTACAGCTCAACAGGGATTTGATCACCCTTATTTCAGAAACTCTAGGCAAGGTTTGGCAAATTGCAGCATCTGTGTGATCTTTGGCATAACAGGAGATCATTGTGGGATTCATTCGGACCATGCCAGCTCAGGTCAAAAGTATTATTTGGCTTATGTATTGCAACCATAGACAGACACCCAAGCCCATTAACATAGACGAAAGAACAGAATGAGCTTAAAGTGCATCAGTTCATCTAAAACGATCTTTGCTTGGGCCACACAATGTTAGCAATGTGTGCCTTACTAAAGTGCAACTTGATGCTCAAATACCATTTCAAACTCCCTACAATTAATACCAAGTTTCAGAGTGTTCTTTATGGAATGTGTGGAACCTCCACATGAAACAGACGTGAAGTTTGACTAAACCTTTGCTTGTGGAACTTTCACAGGCTCCCAGTGCAAGGAATGGCCAGAGGACAAAAGGAACTCTGGACACAAAGGGGCAGTGTGGCACAGGATAGCGAAAAAGCTCAGCATTCAAGCACGCTTTTGGCCCTTAGGGCTAAAGGCAGGAAAAATAACCTTGGAAGCAAGCTGAAAAGGCTCTACTAAAGGCTTAGAAATATGATCCTTGCAAGCAAGGTTTCCAGTGGTCAAAGTCTAGACATATACATTTCTACTAAATGGGACTCAATGTCACTCTCTGTACCCAGCTATCCTTATGAACCCCAAATTAAAGTGCATCTTGCCTATCACAAAGGATGACGACATCATCCATTTTAAAGTAATTCTGACACAGTGGACCAATGTGTGGAGGGGTGTGTTGGTCACTCTGTGTAGGATCCCAACCACAAACCCAAAATCAAATTAATCTATATATAACTAAACAAGTTTCAGTTTATTTCTGTTTTTTTGTGGGAGTAAGCCTTCCTGTGCCCCCTACTTATTGTATTTTAAAAGGCACTGTTATAATACTGATTTATGGCCATGACGGTATCGTGAGTGACAAAATGTAGCTTTTAAGCACAGTCAGGTCATTCCCATAAAATTCTAGCCGAACACCTTAGCTTTCAATACCAACAAGCAAGCATGCTTCTTGATCTCATCATTTGCTGAGGAAAGACAGAACCTGTGTGCGGGGGTTCTGCCAAAGGATACAAAACCACAAGAGGGTATGAATCTACCATCCATTTAAAGCAAGGAGTGAGGGATCAGTCCCACAGACATGGTCATCATTTGACCATGGAGTGATGATTTGCATGTGTGAAACAGCCACTGCAGATCAAATGACAGGACAGTGTCCAGATGACCTCCCATCCCTTCAAAGGCAAAATCCCCTTCAGTCTGCAGTTTTACCTACAGGTAATAAAGTGATATGAACTAATTCTAATTCTTCTGCAACCACTACAACACTTTAGATCCCCGCCCCCAACCAGTGCATTATTTTTTAAGCTATAAGCACACTTTTTTTAAAAAGTAGGGGATTGAGTGTATTACTATTCCTAAATTTCTGAAGCAATTTATATTATTGATTTTTCTGCTTATCTTCAAAATTAAAGTGAAATCCATGGTTTCCTCTAAGCAAGCAAGTGGGCAAAGCAGCAAACATCTCCATGGGCCCACAGATTGCAGTTCTGAAACAGCTGAGAGAGGCTCATCCCAGGATACCTGCAACTCTGGCATTCCGAAACCTACAGTCCCCGAGGATTATTTGCAAGCTGTTGACAGGAACCCAGCCTTCCTTCTTTTGATTGAGGTTTTTTATCAGCCTTTTGAGAGAGAGAGAGAGAGAGAGAGAGAGAGAGAGAGAGAGAGAGAGAGGGTGAAAAGGACTGCCTTTTTTTTTTTTGAAACACACACGTTAATCACACAGTGTGAGCAACAGATCCCCCTTTACTTGGTAAGAAAAGCTGTTGCATTTTGATGGGATTCCTACAAAGAACTCAGTGTTTCTCCCTTCAAACATTTTATTCTCACAACAAAACCCTTGTCAGGCTGAGACCCCAGCCTGAGTTCACCCAGTTAGCCTTAACTTCTAGATACTTGTTCCCAGGTCCATTGCCAGAAATTCTCTAACTGACACATGCTGGGAATTCCTAGATGGAACTTGATTTCCAAGTGTGCAGAACCCGAGTTTCACGTTGGGGAAATGATGGGGGTGGGGCTGAAGTCTCCTCTCCTTGTGGTCGCAGTCTGAATCAAGCCCCCACGTGCCTAGGAATAAACTCTCACCCACCTAGGAACTTCCAGCACATGTCTGCTGGGCAGTTCCTTGGGATGCACCCAGGAGTAACGTATCATTCTTTTCAAGCCCTGAATGGTGATTTGAACCCAAGTCTCTCCTGTTCTAGTCTGACACTTTAGCCACTATACCACACTGACTCTTGGGAGAAGTAGTTCTGGATTACATACCACTGCCCCTCTCCATCTTCATGCAAGAGCTGAATCACGTCTCCATTTTTCACCAGCAAATCCTCTGAGTCCCCCTTCTTACAGTCTGCTAAGGCCTTATATTTTCCTGGTGACTGCGGGATAAAAATTGTGGGCAGGCAAATGTTAGATAAACCAATGCATTTTAAATGACTGTTTTACCAATGCCTTCAAAACTAGATAATTTGGCAGATGAATTAGAGGTTGACATTTTATTTTTGGCTTTGTTGTTGGTTTATGTTTTATTTTCCCCATATTAACAGAGTTTTCTATTATTATTATTTTTTGAAAGCTGCTCATTAGCTTTGGAAAACCAGCATTTCCTATTTTAAATAAAATAAGTTTGGGAAGAGGGAGAGCAAAGACAGATTGAGATGACAGAGAAAATTAGGACAACGGGTAAACGATCACAGATATTAGAAGAGAAGAGAGAAGAGTTTGGATTTATACCATGCCCTTCACAATCCGAAGGAGTCTCCGAGTGGCTTACAATCCCTTTTCCTTCCCCTCTCCACAACAGACATCCTGTGAGGTAGGTGGGGCTGAGAGAGTTCTCTTGAGAACTGCCCTTGACAGAACAGCTCTGAAAGAACTTATGAGTGACCCAAGGTCACACTAGCAGCTGCATGTGGAGAAGTGGGGAATCACACCTGGTTCTCCCAGATTAGAATCTATGCTTTTAACCACTACACCAAACTGGCTCTCATATTAGATGCCAATGACGACCCCCACCCAACACCTATCAACTGAGACCTATTATGGGAAACATGATGGGCATAGAGAGCTGGTACAATTTTACTCAAAATAATTTGGGGGCTATACTAGGTGCACTGTACAGGATTCAACTAACCAGCTGATTTCCATCTTCTTCTTCGGTATCGGAACAGGTTGAGAAGTAGTTATTGCTAGACCAGTCATCAAGACCTTCACAGATCTCCAAAGAATGAGACATTCCTGGCCAAGCTGCATAGAAACATGGGTGATTATAGAAATTGTTCAAGGACACTGGCATACATCCCTCTACTAAAATAATACCTGCCTTAAAAAAGAGAAAATGAGTCTGTAACACAACCCTCTAGAGCATGCTCACAAAAGATGACATCTGGGACATTCGTAGCCCATGCCTGTCAATTCTATCGGCCGAAAGTCCCAGGTTCTCAGAATTCTGCCCAGCTTTAACAGCTACTGAATTTTTTGAGCAAGGTTGGCTCAGCACAGCTGCCTAGTTTATTTTTGTTTGGATGTACTTCGAGGGGAAAGCTGTAACCATCAGATAAAGATGCCCTGGGATCCCTACCAGAAGTCACCAGTAGCTAGAAGGTGTGGGGTGAAAGTGGAGGACTCAAACTTGGACACTCCCCTAATCATCAGCTCTACTACAGCTTTTTCTCATCCTTTGGCAAGGTCCCAGCACATGCACTTCTACATGTGCTATCTCCAGACAATGCAAATAGTGTTCTCCAAGGAGCCTACATTGGGAAAATGGCATGATGGGATGGGGAAGGCTGAAGATCCTCCCGCTGCATCATGAGTTCCCTTGAAATGAGTTCCCTTGAATTTGACATCTGAACTGCATCATGGTCTCAGTCCAAATCAGAAATGAGTTCCCTTGAATTTGACATCTGACTGTCAGGGTCAAAGTTGAGTTGGGGGAACCCAGACCCTTCACATTACAAATTGTAATATGTACAGCCCCCAAGCTTCTAATTGTCCACTTGCAGGAAGAGTTTTCCCCTCCTCACATAGGGGAAGGATTCAAACCTGAAAATCTCTTGTCTCCTTTGAGGGCCACCATATCCTGTCTACTTTTTCCTGTATGTCATCCCTGTCTTTTTTTTGAGTTCTCAGGAGAAGGTCAAAAATGAGAGCAGTTGACTCAGGTTATGCACAGAAGAAAGAGTTTATAAGGGGGCAACATACAGAAGTCTGAAAATTATCTACCCAGACAAAAAAAAAAAGTAAGTTCTAAATTCACATACATCTGTTTGGCTTGTTCTGGGGAGGGGAGGCACTCTCTAAGGCCACAGGGCTGGTGCGTTCGGAATCGTTTTCTTCAGAGCTTATAGAAGCTCTTGGCTGTTTTCTGAAACGAAAGAACTCACTTCAGAGCAATAGATGAAGCGAGGGGCAGGTAACATCCACAACACCCCGCTTTCTTTTGAATTCTCTTCTATGCTTCTAGGTGTGTATGCTTGCTGCTATAATATTTTAACACCGCAAGCATGTGTGCATATGTAAGTTCATCTAACTTACCCATCACTCAATGGTGGAGAGAGCTGGATTGGGTCTACGCAAGATGGCTGTTGCTGCTTCTCCACTGAAAGGATGATGCAACTGATATTAGTAAAGAAGGTAAGAACAACCCTACTGGTTCAGACCAAGTTCTACTGAGTCCAAGATTCTGTTTCCCACAGTGGCCAACCAGATGCCCCAGAAGGTAGGCAAGAAATCAAGAAATCAAAAGCCCTTCCGTAGTATCCTCCCACCTCCACAACTGGCATTCAGAGGCAGAATGGATGTCCCATTTAGTCATCATGGCCAATAGCCACCCACTGACCTATTCTCCATAAATCTGTCTAATTCCCTTTTCAGAAGGACATCAACACTCATCAAACACTCTGGTTAGATTTCTAATGCTGAGCTAGGTGGGATCTTGGTTTGATCTAGCAAGGCCCTCCCTATGAGCTTTATAACAAACCCCTCTGTTGTTGGTTAACATTTACTGGATAACGTCCAACCGCTCACCAAGCCGATCAACATATGCACATCCCATCAAGCTGGCTATACATTCCTTCATAAACCTTCATCAAGCCATCACAAACCGCAAGCCTTATCCACCCAATGGAGCAAAACAATTAATGAATCAACACAATCAATGAATGCAATTAAGCCCAACCCACTGATTTTTTTTTTGCACCATGTGGGTGAAGTGTCACCTTCTTATTGGGTGGCATACTTGACAACAATAACAGTCCCAGGCATCCGAAGGACACCAAGGCTCCTCAAGGCGTGTGTCTCTGTGTCCCCGAGAAGCCATCCTCAGTGTTTGCTCACAAAGTTAAGGTGTTTCCTCACCTTTAAGGTGATGTCTGCTGGCCAGCCAGCTACTGGCAGTTGGCCCTTTTATGGCTCACTGTCTGATCTGCTGCGAGGTTGTACTGGATGGGGAACAATTGAATGAGTCACACTTGTGCTGTGGGGTTAGCAGCTTCCCATGGGAATTGCCTGGAACGCAGTGGAATTTAGGAGGGGCGGAAGGGTGAAGTCAGCTGAGGACATGCAGGCTTTTGTTCCTCAGACAAGGAGCCAGGACAGGAAGCAGTAGAAGGACAAGGGTGAAGAAGCCACTGCCCTCTCAGTCTGAGGCCCATACGAAGGTATATACTGTCCCCTGGTGGTGAGGACCATCCAGGCCCAGGGGGGCATCATACAAATAATGACGTATTTGCATAAGAGCTGTCAGTGCTTGAAAGCACTGTATAGTAATTATTTAATTATAATCCTTAGAACATCACTATAAGTTAGTCTTTTGATCATTCCAGTACTGCAGATGGGAGGCCTACTTTGAATCAGGCATTTGTAGCTCAATTTCTTAGCCATTCTGCTAAACCTCTGTCTACTGAAATGAGAATATCTAAGAAGGAAAGCCCTCAAAAGCAGGCTGGTATTTGGAAAAGCAGAGCTCATGAAAACCAGAGGGGTGATAGCTGGGTGTTTCTGAAAGGCTTGCAAAGTCTTTTTATTGTTGTCTGCTTGGGGTTAGTTTGGCTTAGAAAACCCTGGATATATGTTGTTTTTATGGATCATTATGCACGAGATTATTTCAATAAGGTCTTACTGGTGAACCGCCACTGGCATTCGGAAAGGCAGTACAGTTTTCAGCAATGGGAATATACAGAGGATCTGCCTGCAAAGCAAAGCTTGTTAACCTCACTCATGACTATTAAGAATGTACCTTTGATAAGTTCTTGCTGCTTGAACAAAATTTTTCTGATTTCATTGAGCCATGCCATCTTCAGGTCAACTGTCTGAGCCTGAAAAAGAGAACACTGTCTGCAGTCAAGGTCCAGATAGATAGCCACGTCAGTCTTCTACGGCCAAGTAAGACAGTCTTGTGGCACAAGAAAACTTCCACAGACTTCATCAGAGGCATGCGAGAGTCTTCCGCTGACAAGTAACAGCCACCTTGGCTGGTCACTGGGCTTATGCCTTCATAAAATTATCACGGACTGCAGCAACTGCATTTAATTAACTTTCAGCCCTGGTATATTTCACAGTAAACTGGGTGGCTTACAGAATCATAGAGTTGGAAGGGACCTCCAGGATCATCTAGTCCAACCTTCTGCACAATGCAGGAAATTCACAAATACCTCCCCCTCCACACCCCCAGTGACCCCTGTTCCATGCCCAGAAAATGGCAAAAAAACCCACAGGATCCCTGTTCCAACTGGCCTGGAGAAAAATTGCTGCCTAACCCCAATTAAAATCGTAAAAGCAAGAAAGCCAGACAGAACCTCAGACAAACCTGGGGTATCTACCTCTTTGGGAGGACCTCCCAGGTATAGAGAAAAACATAGCATTTTAGATAAACAACAAAAAGGGGGCAGCCCTTCCCACCAAAAACACAAATTCCCAGCTAAATGAGGATTGAATATGCTTAAAAACACAGCGAGAAGAGGAGAATTGGGGTTTTGTTGTTGTTTTTTTTAAAGGATGGTTGTGTGGAAGGGAATTTAGTTAACATTTCACACCTAAGACACCCAAATTTGGTGTCAAGAAAAAAAGTGAGTTCACTAGCCTAAATTTAGCAAGCATGCATAATTTTGAAGAATTCATTCTGGGTTCAAAGGTCATGGGCTTGGGCAAGGACTTCCATCCTCAGTCACCATACATTCAGTCTCCTAGATCCACCTCATTAAAAGCTAAAAACTTGACTTAAAAAAGAAGATTCTCAGGCTGCCAAGTTCTGTACCCATGATAGCATTCTGAGCATGTCATGCACTCTTACAGAACTGCAGCAGCCATATACATGTGCCATTCTGCTTTCATACTGTTGGATGTTCACCAGATGTGTGAGCCATATAGAGTATTCAGTGGTTAATGGGACTATATACATGCCAGATATGAAGCGGCAGGCTCAGACTGGAAGATCAACTGCTGGCTCCCTGTGCCTGTGGGGTGAGAACTGAAGGCCATTCCAGCTGCATCAGGCTTTCTTGGTACCAATCAGCTTCCTTGTTAGAATTCAAGAGATGTTGCAAGACAGCTTTTAAAGTAGGAGCCTTGTGTGCAGGGGTCAAAATAGTTCCTTTTATGGCTCTTGATTCTGGGAATGGATGGCTGTTTTGTATGCCACCGATTTGTTTTATTAAGACTGTGAACCATTCAGTCCTACAAAATAAATAGCTGTCCATGAGCCTCTTGGCCTGAGAAGTCTACTGATGCTGGAGGACAAAACAGGTGCTACCGAGGGAAATGGAGACTAATAGGTCTGCTGATTTCCCTTAGCTTGGGCAGCTCATTGCTCAGGGCGCCCACCTAGTTCTCCCTCTGCACCCTCAGGTGTCTGGCTTTCAGCTAGTGTATTGTCTAGCTTGCTCTCTGATTGCCTGCCTCCAAGATCCCCATCTGCTCTTGGCCCAAAGGCCTGACAGTAAGGTTGTGCCACACTTTTCTCAAGCAACTTGAAATCCTTGAGCATGAAGTCAGCCACGAACATATCACACGGCTTGGGAGACAGATGAGTGATTGCTCATTAAAGTAATGAATATCCCCACAGTAACATTATTAGTTCGGTGACTGGGGTTAATTTTGTCACAGCTATGGCTTTGATTGGGAAGTGTAAATGAATTGTGCAGAAAAGTAGCCACAGCTGAAACAGAACACACCACTGATGAATGCTACAGAGTAACCCCGATGTTCCTCAATCCTTTTCTAGCATGACTATCAATAGCAATGCAGAAATGGAAAGCAATTCGGCCTTTAAGACTTGTTCTTGCAAAGTCACCAGTCACTTTGATTTAAAAACAAAAACCCCTACAAAAACCCCATTTTTCATTTCTAGATAAATTATGGAACTTGCTGCCACAAGACATCATGACAGCCATTAGATGCCTTTGTTTTTAAAAACAAGTGGATGTATCTGGGGATACAACTATTGATGAACATTAACAAAGGCAAGGCAAATGAGGACTCCATGATAAGAGGCAGTGCAAAACTGCATGATGTAGAGTGGGCTATGTGTGCATATACACATGCATGCCTATGCATGCATGCAAACAACCGAACATCATACACTACCTGCAAGGCATCTGACTGGGCACTGCTCAAGCCCAAAACTCAACTAAAAGGGCTTAAGACTCTGATCTGACATACCCATATGTTCCAATACAATTTAGATATCAACTAACCTGCACAACATACACTTCTTCCCGTCCACTGTACCAGATCTCAAACTTCCGATGGTCTCCTTTCACATTTTCAGTGATTCCAACAGCATTCATCTAACACCACAAATGCAGAAATAAAAGAAAGAAAGAATGCACAACTTTGAGTATAAACTCTCTGTACTGCAGATCATCCTTCCTCCAATTTTTTTGCACAGAATCCTGTCTGGAAAAAAGGACCCCCCTTTTGAACCAGCAGCTTCAGCCAAAACATTTTGCCTGCAGAAGGCAGCCTCGATGCATTTTCCAAACCTCTCTTTCATACCTTACCAGAGTGGCAAAGGAAAACAGCAGCCAGGCATCTCTTGCAGTGCATGAATTAGACTTTTGTCATTTTATCTGAGCTAGTGGGGGTGGGAATGACCAAGCATGAAACACTGGCTTAAAGTTTAGTGATGGTAGAGGAGACCAATGTTCTCATAAGGACTGTGAAGAGAAGTAGAGGCAGTGCTATATTTACAAGGGGGACACAAAAGTCTTGGGCTTCTATGAGAGAGCTGCCATCAACCCTGCTTCTTGACTGTGGCTGCACTCACACACACTAAATAATCCACTTCCAACCCACTTCCAATCCACTTTCCAATGGGATTTTGCCAGTTCACATGGTAAAAATCCAGTTGGAAATTGCACTGACAGTGTGCAGTGTGACTGCAGCCCATAAATGAATGGGGCTGGCTGTGGTGTCTTTTTCGTAAGGAATGAAACTATGTAATAGTTCGGGGGACTTCATTGCTCAGAAAAGGAGTATGGTTGTCGGAAGCACATGGGACCAAAGACAGGTTGCTTACCTGTAACTGGTGATCTTCGAGTGGTCATCTGTGCATTCACACCCTTTTCTTTTGCCCATGGCACCCTTTCTTAGACAGGAGCGGCAATTCATGCCTTAGTCACAAACTCAAACTTAACTCGTAATGCCTTCTACATAGAGGTGCCTTTGAAGAGTACTCAGAAGTTACAGAACGCAGCAGTCTGGTTGTTAGCTGGGGCAGTTCTGGTGGAACATATTGTGCATGTGAGGGAAAGAACAGCCTTCAAATGGCTGATGCTAAACGCTGCAGTGTGCCTCCAGGGATTTGGGGAAGGAGACAGAACCTCAAATCAACAAGCCCTCCTAAGAATACAAAGGCTGCATTTGTAAATAGATGCTCAATTTATCGTTTGCAGTCTTCTTGGCTAATAGAACATTCTGTATCTTCTGTGTACACACAAGAATACCTTCTGGCATTATACAAGTCAGGCTACCTGGATACTTCCTTTTCTTTTTTTGGCAGGAATATCAGCAGTGATGCAGACTGCCTCAGGACGCAATTTGCAAATTAAGCTTCAGCAGTCCCCCCCCCCTCCATCTGCCAGGTGCTGCAGGGCAAACAAATGGCGAGAAGGCCTTCCTGCCTGCTTCCAAAGGAAACATTTTCCACTGGATGCGGAAAACCAGTTGAACTGTAGGAACCAAGCAATTTGTGTGTGTTTATCATTTTATTTAGTAACTTTTTAATGCCAGTTCTCCAGGGAACCCGCCCAAGGTGGTGTTTAGTGCACTGTTCTCTTGGTTAAACAAATAAAAGAGCTTCCATATTTCAGTTAACTTAGAACCGAAATAATAGGTGCAAATACATGTCAATGAGATTGCAGAAGGACTGACTGAGGAGGTATTGGGGCAAGCTGGAAAGCATGAAAAGCAGCCAATCACTGCCTTTCTTTACCACTAGAGTCCCTGACCACTGCATCTCACGCAGGAAGCTGTCAACTCAAGACTGCCTACTCTGATTGTCATGGGCAGATAAAGAACTTCCCCAACACTTGAAGGATCCCAGCTAGCAAGTAGAGATGCTCACGACTGAAATTGGGACCTTCTGCATACGAAGATGCTCTAGCACTGGGCCCTCCCTACAGCATCATCAATATATTTAATTCTCATCATTACTATATTTAACTGTCAACACGGTCCAGCCTGCAGATATTTAAACCCATGGATCGGGACCATGTGCAGACTACAAACATTTTTCTACACACTTGGGGGAACCCCCAGTTTGCAGAAAAGCTAGACACTTGGAGGAAAATAGAGGGGGTGGTGGTGAAACCGTTTAAAATAAAGGAATGATTGTGCACTTGCACACAACACAACTGTGTTGGGGCTGCTGCTGCCTCCCTTTCTCTGAGGGGGAAAAAGGCCACCCACTGTGAGTCCAAGCGCCCAGTGTTGGCTGGGTCGAGTGCACAGGAGGCAATAATGTCAACGCTCCTCCTTCCTTCTCCACCTCAACAGACCTACATCTGAACAACCTGCAGGTTGAGCTGAAATGCTGAGCACCTTCTCAGGGACTAAGGAGGCTACAGCACCATGCTGGGCATGGGATAAAGAAGGAGGTGATGTGGAGCAGGTGAGGAGGGTTGCTTACATGCATGGGGCCTGCAGCAAGGAGGGGCAGTGGGTGGTGGAGAGGTCAGCCTGAGTATAGAGAAGGCAGTAGAAAGGCAAGGGAGAAGTAGGGACCAGTGTTGGGGGTAAGGGAGGGAGACGTGTAGAAGGGAAAAAGATGGGAGGAGGAAACAAATGCCCTCAGTGGCCATTGCTAGGCAACTACACTTGTATTGATAGCCTTCAAGACTTGGTTTCTGTAAATGGCAGGGGGAGGGAGCCTTTCAGGAAAGACTCATTGGGGCCAGACCTGGCAGTGACCACCAGGCGACTTCCTACCCAACTTGCATGATTAATCCAGGACTGGCTTCTTGCAACTGTTCAACAGGAGACACCCTGCAAAAGTCAGTGCGGTGTAGTTGTTAGAGGTTCAGACTAGGGTCTGGGAGATTCAGGTTTGCATCAACACTCTTCCATGGAAGCTCACTGGGTGAACTTGGGCCAGTTACACATTCTCAGCTTAACTCACCTCACAGGGTTGTTTTGGGGATAAAATGGAGGAGGAAAATGATTTAAGCTCTTTTGGGTCTCCATTGCAGAGAAAGATCAGGCATATATGAAGCAAATAAATAATAAATACAACTGAAGGTGGGAATAATAGGTTGGTTGGCAGGTGGGAAGGAGAGAAGGAAGCAGGGAAAGGTGAGGAGGGGGTTGCCAGAAGGAGGGAAAGAAGAAACACTGCAGAAAGGGGCTACTGGGGAAAGAGGAAATTTATGTCATTAACTCACTCTATCATTTGTTAGATCTGAGCTTTATTCTACTTTGCTGTTGTTGACTGGGCATCTTACTCCCACTCTGGGTAAACTGACTGCCCTTTTGATTATATATGGTTTTACACCAGCCTCTCTTTGTCTCTTTGTAACACTCCTCCCCATTTCTGCTGGGTATTTAACGAGGCCAAATGGATGTGACACTCTTCTATATCTGACTCATTAAAGCCTATGGTGAAATAAATTTTAAGGTGCTGTCAGATTCCTGTGTGATCTTCCTGCTGGCATTTTAAAGGAACACATTAGATCTGCCATAACTTTCTTATTGCTCTCTAGGAGTTCTTTTCCCCAGCCCCCTTGCACCGACAGGCTTTAAAATAGATCTGGTGATAACATCAAACATGTATAAAAGCTTCTGAGTCAAGCTTGCTGGTCTAGGTGACAAAGAAGAGCTGGCTCTGACACCTGAATCCTGCCTCAACTGATGAATATTACCATCTTGGTTCACAGAGAAAGAGTATTTGTTATACAAAAACGAGTGGGGTGAACCAACAGATTCTCCTCATGCAGCAGCGCTCATGTAAGCTCTCCAGAACAGGTTTTTGTCTTGAATTATAGATCATCAAAATATTCCACAGGAAGATTGTGTGTGTGTGTGTGTGTGTGTGTATAGAAATATGGATTTCTAAAAAACCCCTGCCTTCCCCTGGAATGCCTCTTGCTGATACCCTGCTGTGTTGATTTTCCATTGAAGCCATATGGCCTCAACAGGCCTGCCATATAACCCTACATTCTTCACACTTCAGTGCTGGCAGAGAACAGATGGCCTAGCAAACAGGCAAAAACACACGTACGCCATGGGGTGGTTGGAATTTGGGGACCACATGACTGCAGGTGTGGCCTTCAAGACTACTGACCATTCAGAAGTTGTACCCATGGCAACCCAACACTGGACACTCCCATGTCGACTCCAATTGGCCCCTGGCCAGGGGTAATCTGGGGACTGGAATTGCCCTATATCTGGTCAAACCCTATGGAGAGAACTCTCTCTCTCTTCTGTTCCTGCTATCTCTGCTGCTCTGTGAACTTACCCCTGAAATGCTCTTGTCCTGCCATGTGGTCTGTGGGAGAACAAAGGATCCCCTTGTGCCTTACAGCACATGAAGGCAAGGAAGGGATGTTCCTCCTCAAACCCCCCTGGGGGTACCTGGATTATTCCAATGGACAATATTGAACTCTTGGATGCTACCCTGATGTTGGTAAATATGCTTCTTACTGTTTACTTAAGGCAAAACTTGCCTAGGCTTGTTAGTTTGAAATCCTTATTAGTCTGTGCTAAGTACTATACTGAATAAACTTATTCTGGTTTTCTAATTTGTCTGTACTGTGGTAACTGGACTTCAAGCCTTTTTCCTGTGCCTGCTGCTCGCCAAATGGCGCTACCTTAGTAAGATTAACTGCACAGCTCTGGATTGAGCTGCTAATGTGTTAAGTCCCAGAGGCCAGTTAAGAGACTGAACCTTGCTCTTGGGCTGGAAAGGGACCCTAGTTAAAAAAGGTTCTGGTGGCTATTGTCTTGAAATCCAGAGAGCCTACATCTCTGGGTGATTGAGTAATGTATTGAGCCAGTGTAGAGTTCTTCCCCTCATCCCTGGACTGGCCTGGGGGGGGGGCAGAATCTCATGCAGCAGCGCTCATGTAAGCTCTCCAGAACAGGTTTTTGTCTTGAATTATAGATCATCAAAATATTCCACAGGAAGATGGGAGGGGCGGGAGAGAATGGGACCTTCTGAACAGTACCCACCATCAAACGGTCAGACATCTCCAGAAACCTAATTCAGCCCTCTAGGTCAGCATTTATGCAAACAAAACCCTTCATCACAAAACCTGACAAAGTTATAACAAGGAACAGTTGGTAAGCAGGGTATAGCATGATGGCAAGCATGAAGCATGTCCCCAGGGCCCTCATGAAGCTACAATGCTGTGTTTTAAAAAAAACACTGAAGGTTTAGTTGTAGAATGCTCAGATGGGGAAACTAAGGCTCAGTTCAGCCAAGTGCTCATCGCATAGTCAAACCATTCCACTTCTGGTTGAGAAATTGTTTTGATTGAATGACCTGCTATCCCCACCTCCTGTATTTAGATAATTTCCTATGGGGAAGAAAAGGCCCTGCATACTGAATACTAGGATTCTTAGAGAAAAGCCTAGGCTAGACAAGTAAGCCTAGAGTTGATACCAAAAGAATTAGGAACTGCCTGGTCTTTAGAATATTTGTGACATGCAACATGAGCACCAATGGCTTTTGGTCTCCCACCAATTCCCCCCCACATTTTTAGTGCAGATTACACAGCATTTTTACAAGTCTTCTGGACTCTCAACTATATAAAGAAGTGAGAGCCAGTGTGATGTAGCGGTTAAGAGTGTCAGGATCTTAGAGACCCAGGTTCAGTGTGAATCCCCACTCTGCCATGGTGACCTTGGGCCAGTAATATGTTTTCAAACTAACTTACTGCACAGGGTTGTTGTGCAGATAAAATGGAGGAGAGAAGAATGATGTAAGCCACATTGGGTGCCCACTGGGGAGAAAGCCGGGGTATAAATGAATTAGATAAATAATAAATACCACTGACACAGCAAGACTCTAGTTCTCATGGCTGAAGTTGCAAGCGGGGACTAAACTGCCCCTTACCCATGTTTCCACTCTCTCCTCCAAGCAACCTTCTAAAGTGGATTAGCTGTGAATGAGAGTTCTCTATTGATCTTAGACATTCATCGAGCGGCAGACACTTAAACGCTGGAGGACATACGTTAGAAGAATTCACTTACTATTTAAATTTGTGCAGTGGCCATTATATACAGCTATTACTCTTTGCTAGAGTTTATTCTCTGATTTCAATTAAAATGGAAATACTGAAATTCAAGACTTCCCTTACTTTCAGAAAGTGCTTGAAACTATATGAGGAGGTTTTCTCGTATCCGTCGCCATGGTCCTCTCTCTTCTTGCAGAACACCAGGGCCTTCTCATACAGAAAGAGATGCCTTTGCATTGGTTTGAACCTGGCCAAGTCCTTCATCTTTGTCGGGCCCTTCCGGTGCCCCATCCACACACTGAAAGATCCTTGCATCAGTACTTTCCCAAGTTCACTGAGGTCTCCCTGTGGGTCATACACACAACAAAAAAGCAATATACATGGCAGCACAGGAAAAAAAAAACCCACGAGGTTGTTGTGAAGTTAACATGGGATGGGAAAATATACATTTTACTGAGCTCCTTTGAAAAAAGGGGAGGAGAAAAATCATTGTCATAAGGATGTTCTTGAAAGGTCTCCATGAGGGCAACTGTTCCCCTGATACTTCTCAGTTCCCTGGATCAGGCCCTGCATGCACAGCTGTCAGTCAAGTCATAAGAACTGTCCTGCTGCATTACAGCAAAAGTCCACTGAGCTCAATATTTGACTTCCCAGAGTGGTGCGGACAGCTAGATGCCTCTGGAAAAGTTGACAAACAAGGACTTCAAGGCCTCCCTTCACTTGCTCCAAAAAATCTAGGACTCAGGGATATGAATGGGGAGGTCCCATTTAGTTAGCACAGCTAACAGCTCTTTGCAGAACTCAACCCTCCCCAATGCATCAGGGTGTGTTTCTGCCTACCATTCTATTTCCAGTTATGGCGTTTACCTTCCACCCCCAGTAGCTACTTACATCATAGCCAGTTATTGAAATCTGATGCATGGAGTCATTGACAGATTTCAGCAGATCCAGCATTGCAACCAAAGCCTCTTGGAGCTCTTGAACACCTTCACAACTTGTACGGTATTTTAGCAGTTCCTGCAAATCAACAGTTTTTACATTAAAGGCTGATTCACAGGCACAGCTGATACTTTGGGCTGGTGCACTCATACATGCTCACCAGCTGCTGAATGTAACATTGAGCAATGGGTTGCACATGCGAACAGGCCAAACTGTTATAGAGGGATGTTTCTATCCTGTACTTTTTAAAAATACAAAAAAAATGGACTTCTACATGCTTTCAACAAAGGAAGAGCTGGGTAGAGGAGGCATTTAATCATTTCTTTCTGTGCAGCTTTCCTGAGCAAATTCACCTCCTCCATTGCTGCTGGCTACCCAACTCGAGCAACATCCCCGTGATGCACTGTACTTTCCTCACCATGGTGCAAGCAGCACATCTGAATATATGAAGTTGCCTTATACTGAATATAAGATGCTGGAATCAGTACCTTCAGAAGCAACTGATACTTTGTCAACCGCTGCACTGGTTTGAGCAAGTAGGAATCCAAACTGAGTTTGTGTTCCAGTTTTTTTTGGCATTCCCACAACAGAACTTTGAACAACACATACCAAAGGAATGGTTTAAACATATTCCACTTACACTGCCAAAAGAGCACCTATAAGCATATGAGCCTCTAGGAAGAAATTAGTTATCTGTCTTTCTTTGAATCTTCAAGGCTGCAATTAGATAACGGACTTTACCAGACAACAAATATATTAAATGATAAACATGAACATACAGGGAAGTGTGATATTAATGGAGAAATAAAAATTGATCTTATTGAGGAATATACATCACAACCAAGTAAGACATGAATAAATGATTCTGTCTCTGCATTTCTGCATGGACAGGGTCTCTGTTCAATATGACTACTTGAGAATCTACCAAAAAATTGTTAAGGGGTAGAATATTGTGTTGAGCCAAGAAAAATAGTCTTCGATAAATTAGAATTCTTAACAATTTCAGATAATCTGGAAGCACTGGAAAAGAAGGGGTACTCAATCCCCCAAAAGAGGGTAAACGTTTCCTTTTTGAATCACTGCATAACCCTTTGTTCTAGGCTAATAATTATCTTGTTTAGAACTAAATAAAGATCTGTAGGAAAAACTAGGATAAGGAATGCACAGATATGAGAGCCTTTTGTCTACTAACTTTGTCCAGGAGGACACAAAAGGATCAAGTTTGGTCCATTTTAGAAGGTCAGGAAGAAAATCCAGGTCTAGCAAATAAAATCAAAATTTCACCATGGCCTTCCAGACCATCAAAGAGATGGAAATAAGGCCAGCTTCTATATACAAGCTGGAGTGTGAAATTTAATTAGGTGCTTGAAAGATGACGTGGAGAAATACTGACTGTAAAGATTCAATTTTGGAAGTAAAGAGCTGGAAATCAAACTGGAGCTCCATAGAGCAGAGAGAATCTAATTTTTGCTTTGTAAGCTTCCAGAGCAAAAGGTACAAATTACCCCCCAGAATGATAAAAAATTCTCATGATTGCTCCTAGATAAGCGTAATGAAATTTCCAGTTATTAAAAGAGGAAAAATAAATACTTGAAATTAGATACGTGCTCAAATGCCCATCCAGGACTCATGAGTCTGCTTTTTTCCGTGTTGGGTACTTCTGGAAAAAACTATTTTAGATTTGGTATAAGTTATAGAGAACAGATTATTGTGACATAGGAAACAAATGCTTGGAGAAGACTTCTTAATCCTAATCTCGAATGAGAGAGAAGAGCTGCGTCATCTGTATAAAGTAAAATTGGAATGGGATGTATAGCCAGGCTAGGAGTATGAAAATGATTAGCTTCTAATTTATTTAGAAGGTCATATAAATAGTTTAAACAAATCTGGTGCCAAAATACAACCCTGTCAAACACCTTTTGTGATAGAGACTGGGTCTGAGAGGCAGCTAGTTGTTGGACATCTTATTCTCACAGTAGTTGGAAGTATGTAAAGAGACAATCAGATATAATAATTGTTCTGAAATTCCCTACTGGTCTAATTTGATCCAAAGCCTTGTGCATGAGATGTTGTCAAAGGCTGCCCTAAGGTCCATAAAAGCAGTAACCAATTTCTCCTTAGGATATGATGTATATTTATCAGCAAGAGAGCACAAATGCATGATGTAATGTGGATGAACCCTTTTAAGAACAGATTTGTTCAGGGCCTAGAATTGATAAACTGCAGGACCAATTCCGGAGCTTTAGTTGTAACTGGAAGCGCCGGAAGTAACATCAGAAGACCGCCTGGAGACAATAGTAACAGCAACAGAACGCATGCCGCTGGGTGTTGGTAGGTTGCCCCTTCCCAAAAATGAATTGTGGCCCTAGATCAGGTATAACTGGTATATATATACCCTCTGTAAACCGCTCTGAGACCCTCCGGGGTCAAGGGCAGTATAGAAATCGAAACTATAAATAAATAAATAAATAATATAAAATAAATAACTGTGCCGCATACAGCTTTCCTGGTATGGACAGCAGGTTAATTGGTCTATAATTGGCTGAGGAGTGCTGAGAGTCCTTCTTAAACATATTCAGTCAGAATGTGCAGACCTGCAGCAGGCAGGGCTGATCTAAAATGCCATCTGTCAAATGGACCAATTGGACACCAAAAACAGACAGCTCACATGCTAGCTGCCAGTAGTCCAAATGAGTCCATACTGTAGATCTATGCAGATCTACACAGTCAAGATTTGAACCTGGGATTCCCAGGTCCTTATCAAACACTTTAACCACTGAACCACAGAGGTCACAATTTACTCCTCCAGGGCTGCTGTGGGAAGGGTACTCAGATGACAAAAACCCTCCTCCTCCCCCCCCAAGCTTTTTTTTTGGCCCATCAAGTCACAGCTGATTTATGGCTACCCTGTGGGGTTTTCAAAGCAAGAGACATTCAGAGGTGGTTTGCCATTGCCTGCCTTCCTGTCACAACCCTGATATTCCCTGGTAGTCTTCCTTCCAAATACTAGCCAGGGTTGACCCTGCTTAGCTTTCAAGATCTGATGAGATCAGGCTAGTCTGGGACTATCCGGGCTATCCCCCAAGGTACATACCTGGAAAAAGAGGCTTTCTGCACACTGCCTCCACAGAGATTCTGATCGTGGCTTATTCTGACAGTATTTCTCATACATCTGAAAATCTTCCCTCTGCATACAAAAAGAAATAACCCTCAGTTCCAATCACCTAAGCAGAAGTCAAACATGTAGTGATACAAGAGACAGCCTCCTCTGAGACTGACTAATCCTGCTGCATCTGAAGTGACAGACAGATCCAATCCTATCAATTGGTCCTTGTCTCTCCTCACCTTAATTGCACCAATTGGCTGCAGTTGGTACTACAGTGCTATTATGGTCAGCATTCATGTTGATGAAAAGTTGCCCCCAAAGTCCAAACCCAGTCACATTTGATTTCAAAAGAGGGAACTTTACAAAAATTAGGGGACTACTTGAAAGGGAGCTGAAAGGGAAAATGAAGCAAGTCAAATCCCTCCAGGATGTTTGGAAGCTATTTAAAACCACACGAATTGAACCCCAGATAGAATGCATTCCCTGGGTTAGGAAAGATACCACCAAATGGACAAGGATGCCAGTATGGTTAACAGTCCCAATCAAGGCAGCCATAAAAGGCAAAAAGGCTTTCTTTAAAAAGCTGGACAGAAGGGAGTACAGGGTCTAGCAGAGTAAGTGTCAACTAATAATTAGGTAAGGAGGGGAAAGATTTTGAGGAAAATAATGCTAAGTTAGTAGAAACTCTTATTAAAGATAGAATTATTAAGCACACAGAAGACCAAAACCTGCTAAAGGAAAATTAGCATCAATTCTGCAAAGGGAGGTCCTGCCTCATGAACCTTCTGAAGTTCTTTGAGAAAGTTAACAAGCTTGTAGATAAAGGTGATCCCACAGATATTATATAGCTGGAATTCCAGAAGTCGTATGACAAACTACCTCTCACCAAAGACTCATGAGTAGGTATGGGCATGAACCAACAAACAAACCCCAGTTTGAGCACGAACCAGGTCAGATCCTGGTTTGCGAACCAGGGGTTCTGGAGGCCATGTCTCCCACAATCTGCCACATGAACCTCCATATACCTTTGGAACTTACTTCCGGGTCTGATGGCTCGACTGGAAGTGAGCTCCGAAGGCATTTAAATGCCGTTAGAGTCCACCACCAGACCGTGGCCTTCGGAGCCAACCTCCGGGTCAGGCTGGCCTGAATGAGCTCCTTTATAGGCCTTTGGAGCTCTAGGAGCAAAACTGAACCAGGCCGCCCCATCCAGAACTGGGTTCTGAAGGCCTATAAAGCCTTCAGAGCTCACTCTGGGAGCTCAGTCGAGTTGGGCCACTCAAAGGCCTATAAGAGGAGGTAGGCTCCAAAAGCATTTAAATGCCTTCAACGCTCACTTCCAGGTGGGGCTGCAGCTCGAGTGAGTCTTCAGAGTCCACTGGTTTGTGCACAGCCACACCCCCAACCAGAATTGAGCTCCGATGGCATTTAAATGCCTTTGGAGCTCACTTCCAAGTAGGGCTGCGGTCCCATGAACTTCCCAGAGCACGAACTGGTTCATGTAATGGAGAAGTTAATGGTTTGTCAAAACTCTGAACCACGAACCTCTATTTTTCCAGTTCACACCCACCCCTACTCATGAACAAGTTTAGCAATCATGGGATTAAAGAATGGGTCCTTTTATGGATAAAAAATTGGTCAAATAACAGGAAGCAGAGAACAGGAATAAATGGAGGGAAGTGGGGTCCCACAAAGATCAGTATTGGGACCAGTGCTATTTAATTTGTTCACAAATGATTGGGAATTGGGGGTGAGCAGTGCAGTAACTCAATGGGACCTAAACAGTACTGCTCATGCCTGTCATGTGTGCTCTCCTGCTTTCTTTGGCTTTACTTATCTTAAATCCTGCTGTCTGTATATAGATTTTTTTAACCATCCCAGATTATAGACAAGAATTATTTTTAGCAAGGTTCAGTGTACCACCTACTGCTGTCTTTAGTGGGAGCTACACTAAATAGCCCCACTCTGAGCTTCTATGTGGCTGCAGATCTGGCTCCATTGAAACCATAGAGCATGTCCTTTTTTTCTCCCAAAGATATAAGCATCTAAGAACACAGTTCATTAATACATTAGTTCCTGATGCTGACTTGCCCATAGCAAGTAAGCTTCAACTTCTGCTTGGTGGCTGTGATCCAGACATTACACTTCCAGTAGTGAAATTTCTCCTGGGCTTGTTTGGCTATAAGAAACAGGAGCTGAATTCAATGAACGTATGTATTATAGTCAAAGTATAGTAAATAAAATAATTAAATGGCAAATAAAGAATAAGAATTGTAAATCTGGAAAAGTAGGTATTATGTTTTATTGACTGTAATAAACATAGCATTTCCCAAGATAATAAGTGGAGTATAATTCCCATTTGAAAATGGATTAGCTTGCAGCTAAATTGTTAGCTGATGTCAGTCTTGTGACTTTTGCTGTGGTTAAATTTTTGCTTATGATATTTAATAATATTTTAATGTAAATACTGTTTTGCAATTATGCATTTTGTATCTTTTTCATTTGCGTATGACTAATTGGTCTGTGAGCATTAATAATAAATGAATGAGTGTAGTAGCCTAGTTTGCACAAAATATCAAATTATTCAGGATGGTGAAAACCAAGGTAGATTGTGAAGAGCTACAGGAGGAGGAACACTGGAACAAAAAATCCCAGTTAAGTATATGCTGATTTCATCTGAGCAGGATAACAGTGAGATGGAAAGAGATTTTGCAGTCATGGTGGATAGCTTGGTGAAAATGCCAGTTCAGTGTGTGGCTGCAGTGAAAGAGGCAAACTCCACATTGGAGATTATTAAAATAAAATGGCCAATACTGTAATGCCCCTGTATAGATCTACACCATCGGATGTTCTTTTTAGCTGTTGTTATCTCTTGGATTTTAAATTGTGTAATACTGTGTTGTTAACTGCCCTGAGCTCTGTGAATTAAGAGAAGGGCGGTATATAAATTGAAACTATAAATAAATGAATAAATAAATAAATACAGTATGGCCTCATTTGGACTACTGTGTGCAATTCTGGTGGCAGAGGTGGGAAAAGTACAGAAGACTACAACCAAGATGATTACGGGGCTGGAGTACCTTTCCTATGAGGAAAGGCTAAAGAACCACGGGGACTAAAGTGAACATTCAGAGGCAGTAAACTCCTGTAACCCAGAGCTAGGAGGCATCATCAGGGGAGGGCCTTGGCCTCCATGCCCTGTTTGGTGGCCCTAGTCTAGGGCAACTGGTTGGCCACTGTATGAAACAGGATATTGGATTAGGTAGACCACTGGTCTGATCCAGCCACGCCCTTCTTCTAGTTTTACACTGCAGAAGAATCCCAGAATCATGTGCCCTCAAAAGAAGCCAACTCGAAAAAGTGAGATCTGAGCATAGAGAGATACAGTGGACAACCCCTCCAAAAGTGGGTACTTTGTCTCTTTGATGGTATTTCAGTTTCTTTCCAATAGCACTTCTCCTACATCTGAATGGTTTCCTGCTGCAGGGACACACACACACAGAAAAGAGATAAGCTCTACTGATATCTAACAACACAATTATTATTGAATAATAATGAATCACAGTTGAATAATTTTTGAAGTGCCCCTTGCAGGTTTCACCCTTCACTAAACCAGGAGAATCTGGAGCTACAAGGCCTTGATCTTAACCTGGAAAGATGCCTACTCACCCTTTCCAAAAAACAGTATCCTACTCTTTCTGGGGATTCAAGACAACTCTCCAGATTGTGTAGGAAAATTCTGCAATAAGAGAAGAAGGAAGACAAAAAAATTGAGCCATTTTCTGTTACAACTGGCTGCTATTCAGGCTGGAAAGACCCCCAAGTGCAGATATTGCTGGATACTACCTGTTGTGGAAGTCATAGATCTCAGACATATTTCCAAATAGAACATCTTTTCTGTTTCTCAAGACAGGGGGCAAGAGAAAAACCATTGTTGGGTTATCCATTTCTGCCCGATAGCCCTGACAACAATGAAAAACACATTCAGCCTGACAGTTACAAGAGCCTTTGTTATTAATACATGTCAAAATGTTTTGATATCAGATTTCAACAACAGAACTCTCAAAGCAGTTTTCAAAAACTAAAGCCAGAATAAAACCAACAAAGTTTAAAATATCCACAAAGCAAATCTAAATCACCAGAAAGGGATTAAAAAAGGGAAAGTTTCCAGCTACCTTTGAAAGGAGAACAGGGAGGGGCCCAAATGAATGTCCTAGAAGAGGGTGTGCTATGACTCTGGATCTCCTGTACAGATCCTGCTTCTCAAGGAAGTCAATTTTGCCTCCATGAAAAATGGAGCCGAAGATGGCTTCAAACCATTTTGTGTGCTAGACAAACAGACAGCTAGCAGAGGTTACCACAGAAGAAAAAAACAGGGAATGAAAAAGGAAGAATACCTTACAAAAAGCAATGAGCAAGACAGGACTTCCAAAAATGTTCTGAAAATTTAATCCTTTGATGCCTCCTGTAATTTATCTTGCCCCTGCCAAAGTGTTTCATTCTCAAAAATTATTGCAGTATCATACTTTCAGGTGGGTAGCTGTGTTGGTATGAAGCAGTAGAACAAAGTTTGAGTCCAGTGGCACCTTCAAGACCAACAAAGTTTTATTCAAGGTTTGTGTTTTCGTGTGCATGCTCACTTCTTCAAACACACTGAAATGGAAGTCATCATATCATACGTTGTTCTAGATAGCTTTTTGAGGTGTTCTTCCTTTTTTGCTTCCTATCTTGGTACCCCTCCGCAGACACTTTAGAAAAAATGCACAGCCAGTAATGAAAAAATTCCAGCCAGAAGGATCGGATAAAGTTTCCCACCCCACCCAACAGTTCTCTCTTTGGGAGGAAGGGGGCTCCCTCTGTTGTTTCTGTTCAACTCTCTGGGAATGCTTCCCCCAAGCAATTCCAGGTAAAGTTAGAATATAGTTTACAGCACATCTTAAGGTTACTAGCCAAGCACAAAGAGCTTTTTTCCTGCCTTCTATGGGAGATATTAACACCACCACTGCCATCTCAGATTCTATACCCTAGTTTTTACTGAGGTGGGAAGCTAGGTTCCCTCTAAGCTGAGTTAGTGTGAGCTAGCTCATAGTATTTTAGCCTCCAGCTCACACATTTTTGTCTTAGCTCAGGAAGGATGGCTCCAGAGCAAACTAATTTATGCAGTAGCCAAATTGCTCACTCACAACTTTAATTCCAGTAGCTCACAAAGTAGAATTTATGCTCACAAGACCCCACAGCTTAGAGGGAGCATTGCTGGGAAGCACCACATCAAACATCTGAGGTTTCACATGACTAAATGGACCTTTGAAGAACAACAACAAAAAGTCCCTGGAGAAACTTGTATATAAATGAAGAAAGAACTCTTCTCCTCGACATGTTAGCTTTCTATATGCAGGGATTGGGGGGGGGGGCATTTAATCAACCAAGTGTATCTTTCTCCTGCCCTTCCTGTAAACCTGAAATGGTCCAGCCCAGACACAGGCTATTCAATGAGGTGACCTATGTCCAAAATATTACTTTTCCAAGCAATTTGTGTAACAGTCATACACACAGAAAAAAATCCACAGTACCATGTTTTAAGATGGCTTGAATATCATGGTATAATGGTATATTTGCATGCCACTGTGCTTATCTGTTGTAAAGAGGGGGGGGGAATGCAAACAAGGGTTTGAAGCTGGAGTACACACAATGGTTGTCATGGAGATATCACCCAAGATGGCTTCCCTGTGGTGAATCATTACAAAACATAACACACTGAAGTATCTGTCAAGCCGTGAGAGATCATCACACAGCAGCGTATAGCCCTTTGGTCCTCATTCCTGGCAGCTCCAAGGCAAGGCTAATATCAAGGCTCAGCATTGTAGGGAAGCAGCCAAGGCCCACACCGGAGGTGGAGGCCCACCGCCAATCCATGGAGCCCTCTTGGCCCTGCTTCATCTTCTTTCAGCAGATGCAGCCTGCTGGCCTCTCATCTTTAAGTGATATCAATGACAAGACTAAGGAGAGGGCACTTCACTCTCTGGGCAGGAGAGAGAGGAAAAGGAAGTGGGTCCTCTGGAGCCCATTGCCAGCCTCTTTCCCAAGGCCTTGGCTTCAAACAGACTTGGCATTACTACTGGGGGATGCATAGAGACTCAGAATGTGATGGCTCCAGTCCATAAGGAGGGCTACATGATAGGGCTGTGGATGGCCCACCAGAGAAAAATCATTTCCAGCAGTATCCCTGGGGCAATTGTAATGTTTGCTCCAGTTCTCTGTGTTAATTCCAAAGGACTCTGTTGCCATGGACAATTCCCAGAGGTGTGCTTGTCTTGTTCATGCATGCAACACCAAGCAACTTGTTCAGAAAGGGGGAGGCAATCAGCAATGCTCTCATGAGGGCTGGGGAGGCCAAAACATCTGTTTACAAGGCAAAAACTTTGCGATATCAAATACCAGATATCAATGAGCTTTTTACTGATAGGAAGCACACAGGCTAATGGACAGCAATGGATTCTGCCTCAGTACAACTTGCTCCCTTCCGTGCAATTCCTGACACTTAAAAACAGCTGTTCCTCATTAAGCACTATGGGAGATTTAGGGTGGGTTTGCACATGTAGGGGGCATGAGGTGACAGAATCCTGAGGTAGTAGAAAAATAGCCCCTCTTTATATTGCAAGTAGATAATTATATTTTGGGATGCTTCTGCCCTGTGTTAAAAATCCCCTGCAACCAGAAAGCCAGCACAAGAAAAGAGTGGAGATGACTTTCTCTTCAGCTTGGTAGTTTTGTATCTGTGGGTTTAGGGGGATATATATATATGTGTGCATATATATGTTATAATGTTTTATCATGCTCTAATGTTTAATGTTTTAAACTGAAATTGTATTTATTCTAATGATGTTACCCACCCTGAGCCCACCCGCAGGATGGGTAGGATATAAATGCAAATAATAAATTAAAAAAATATTATACAACACAGATCTTACAACTTTAGATCTTACAATTCTATAACACACATTTTGGTATTGAGGAAAGAATGTATGGTCTAATGTCACAGTTAAACTCAGCATTCCAAAATGAGACAAACATAGTCCATGCCTGAATTGACGTATTCTGCACTAGTTTATACATATTTTAGGGACATCTCCTAAGGATCCTGGACATTTTTATGCAGAACAAATCACAGACTATAAAATCCCTTAAATGCTCATTGAATTACTGTTGGAAAAGCATGTACATAAACTATCGACAAATGGTTTCCTAGAATATGGAATACAGCTGTAATGTCCAACTATTATACACAAACAAAAATGCTGCATGGATTTTCATCACAAAGTATTTTATCACAAACAAAATCAAAACACGTTAGGTCATCCAAGAAAAAAAAGGGGGTGGGGGTGGACAGTGCAATATGGCAGACAGAGTCTTGTATTTAGCTCCCTGGGAGACTGAGAGCCTCACCTACAAAAGAAGGCAATGAGAATGATCTTTGGGTCCCCACTAAGGACAACAGAAGAGCATAAATAAATATCACCTTGTCAAACAGTCTCAACTCCCTCCTAACTAGATATGCAGCAAAAAGACCTCAGAATGGGAACATAGTTACCTTGGCTCAATTCTGTCTCCTAGTCTGGCTGAAGTGTGTGGAGTAAGAGTGGGATAGCAATGTAAAGAGATAAATATATCAATCCACTGTTGAAATGAGTGAATGTCAGCACCATGCTAAATCTAGGTAAAGTAGGACACTAAGAGGGGAACAGAAGTAAGATAGACCTCTTAAAGGCATCAAAGGGAACACAGCAGCAAGAGGCACACTCACCATCAAAACCGTGAACAATTCCTCTACATACACTCGTTCGGTTTCTATAAGCTCATTTATCACATGGCTAAAATAAAGGGAAAAAATAGATCAAGGCTGTAAGAAAAAATAGCAGAATATAAATACGGGTCACAGAATTCAGTTTCCTAAGAATGTTAGTAAACAGAAACAAAGTTTTCCAGTATTTGTGCTTTCAAAGCAAAAAAAAAAAGAGGTCCCAGGGTGTGGTTAGATGCCACCTTCTGGAAGCTGAGCAGGTCTGGTTCTGGAAAGGAGACCCCCCACACCTCTAAGAACCCCCCACCTCCCGTGCATGCTGCCTTGAAGGAAGAAGATGTAAGATATTAATGTACTAAAATTAATAAAAGGTAAGCTTGAGCCCACGTGGGTAATACCTGCAAGAACTGGAAGTTACTTTCAAAGAGAAGAACCAAGATCCTATTTTTCAACAGATCCAGGAGTTTTTGCAGTAAGCAAGCAAACTGATTTGTAAGAAGTGTATAAAAATGCACTTACCTTTTCAGTATATCCAAACTGTCTTCACTTTCTGAAATAAAGTATTGCAAAGAATTCCTTTTTTCTTGATAATCATGCATTACTTCAATCTGGAGGTAAGTAAAAGGCAGGCATAACAGTTAATTTTCTAAAATAAGGAGAAAGTCCTTTTAAAATTGGTTAACTGCCTAATCACATATTTGTTTTAAACGCACAAGCTTTATTAGAGCAACAAAAAGATGCTATGTTCATCAAAAGGTTTCATAATTAGGCTAATTACTAGGCTTGCCAACCTCCAGGCAAAACCTAGCAATCTGGAATTACAACTGATCTCCCAACTACAGTGATCTGTTTCCCTGGCATTATACTCCACTGAGGACTCTCCCCAAACCACACCTTTCCAAGGCTTTAGCTCCAGAGATGGAAACCCTACTTTCAAAGGTTAGTCAGGCTACAAATGCTGCATAAATTTTTTTTCTAGAACGGGCTATACCATTTCAAATGGCAGGTGGGAACACTCACATTTGTAATGGCTGCCTGAGTAAAAAATCCCTGCAAACAAAAAAATTAGCACATCAGGGAGAAAAGTTCTAGGCTAGTCTTTTGTGGTGCTAGCCTTCCACTTACAGGAGACATATGGAAACTTTGAAAGATGTAATCCCCTTCCTGAGGACACAAATAGTACAGCCCACTCTACCACCTCTGAGTTCTGCCACCTGATTCTGCTGCATATCATACCATTCTGCATTAGGTGGTGATCAGAACGGACTGTGCCATTTTAGACTGAAGGTGAGGGATTACATGTTTCAAATTAGTCCTTCATTAATAATACCCTGTAAATGGAAACCTAGCACAAAACACAAAAGCGTGGAAGTTTTTCCCCTGACACACTCATTTGTAAGGAATTTTCATATGGAGGGAAGTGACCCAACCTATTTTATGATTCATTCTGCTGCACTGGTAGACGGTGTGCCTTCATTGCACTGCCACAGGAGGTGGTGGTAGCTACAAGCATGGACAGCTTCAAGAGGGAATTGGATGAACATATGGAGCAGAGGTCCATCAGTGGCTATTAGCCAGAAGGTATACATAGGAACTCTCAGTCTGAGGCAAGTGATGCTCTGTATTCTTGGTGCTGGGGGGGCAACAGTGGGAGGGCTTCTAGTGTCCTGGACCCACTGCTGGACCTTCTGATGGGACCTGGTATTTTTGGCCACTATGTGACAGAGTGTTAGACTGAATGGGTCATTGGCCCTGATCCAACATTGGCTTCTCTTATGTTCTTTATGTTCATTGCACCGCTATTGTGAAACAATGAATATGTAAATGAACATAAGGTATTTATGAATGTGAACAATGAACCAGGTAATTTTCCCCAATGGTTTTCTCCTTTGGACATAAGTGTAAACCTTCCAAATCGATTTTTGTAAACAATGAAATTAAGACAGAAGTAAAAAAGTTGGTGCAAATGAAAAAAAAAGAAACTTTCCGAGTGAAAAAACAAAACAAAAAAACAAAACCAGAAATAAAACAGCAACTATTATGAAACCAAAAGCCAGGATTCCAAAGCAGTGGTGCCAAGGAGACAGTGAGGCCATGCTCCCCTCCAGGAGACGCCTGAAGTTCTAACCACGAGCAGCCAGAGAAGCTTTGCCTGGCTGCAGGGATCAGGGCCAAGCAGCCCTCCCCCTCCTGCCCCTGACAGCAAAATGACACCAGAATAAAAATAAAACAGTGAGCGGCTGTCACGTACTCAGTGGAACTTTTTGGTTCCAGGGCATATTCACCAACCTAGTAGATTAGAAGGTCTATGAGAAGTCTGGCAGCATATATTTTATAAACTGTTTTGTGCTTTCTGTACCTACCTTGCGGGAGCTTTGTGACTTCCTTGATGTTTTCTTCCCAGGAAGAGAGATATCAAATGAAAACTTCAAACTGGAATTAAAATCCACACCTTGGACATTAAAGAAAAAACAACAATTGGCCAGATTATATTCTGCCGTTCAAGGCCCACAAACAAACTAACGTTCAGTCCCATCAAGCCACTCTTTCTTTAAACGGAGTTACATTCCAATAAGCTATAGCTGGAAGCAAACGACATGCATTTTTAAAAAACTGACAAAACATTCCAAAGGGAGAAAAACTGTTATGAGGGAAATGTATTAATAGTAACAGAAAAGGAGCATAACAATAAACACCGGTCAGGAACAAAAGAATATTCCTCCAAGCTAGTAATATTGTAAGTGAAAAGAACAAAATTAGTGGGGGGGAAACAATCATGCAGCTCTAATAACCCACCAGGAAATCTACCACATGATGTGATATAAAGAGAACTATAGCTTTGATGCTGGCTAGCTGGCGATGCACTCACTATGCAAAACTGTAGAAGTCAACTTCTACATTCTTTGATCCCCAATCTTTGGGCGGGACTGCTAAGTATCTCCACCACATCACTGCCCCATTGGCAGCACTTAAGAGTTACGGGTTGGATCCAACCAACATTGCTGCTGGTGAAACACACAGGAGTGTGAGGGGGTCCTCCTCTGACCACAAAAAAGCCTATGCTGATGATCAAGGGACCTGAATGTATAAAAGCCAAGTGGGGCAGGGGCTGTAGGAAGGAGAAGAACTGGGTGAGACTGAGCAAAACAGCTGCTTGGATCCAATCCTATGTCATAAAGTGGGTGAAAAAATACATCAGAGGTTGGAAGGTATGGGGGGGGGGACACGGAGGGTTACAGATATCACTATCAATTCCTATGATCGTCAATGTATATTGCATCTCCAAAAACCAAAGACTGCTTTGGATGATATAGGTATAGTGGGAACAGAGGTCATTTCGGGGGGGATCGTGGGGGATCGCAGTTCCCCCGGGTGAGGTACGAGGGGCGGGGCACATGACGAAGCCCCGCCCCCTGCTTCCCACCGCCCCGCTTCCGGCCCTCATTCAGCCAGGAGGAGGCAGGAGAAGAGGGAGGGTAAGTTGCTTCCTCCCTGCCTCTCCCCACCCCTGCCTGCCTGGGGCCAGGGAGGGCCTTCGCGGGGCTTCCTTGCACTCCCGCCGGCCTTGCAGGTCCACGGCCGGGCCTCTCATGGGGCTTGGCACTGGAGCTGCAAGGCCGGCGGTGGCGGCCGGGACCGTTGGGGGCGGGCTGTGTGGCCTTATGACACACTACCGGTGATGTCAGGGTGTGTGGCATATGCTAATGAGTTATGCTAATGAGTTCCCCTAGCTCTTTTTCTACAAAACGACCCCTGAGTGGGAAGACTTAGTTCCTTATCTCTTCTCCTAAAATGTGCTTGCCTGGCTTACAACCCTGACAGGCATCCAATACACAATTAAGTGGTAGAACTCCCTGCAGTTGGATATGGAGATGGCCTTTAAAAGGAGAACAGACAGATTCATAGAAGATAAATCCTTCAGCAGCTATTAGCCATGATGGCGAAGTAGACCATTCATATTCAGAGACAGCATCTCTCCAATTAACAGTTCCAGGGGGTGAGGCTAAGGAGAACTGGCCTCCGTGCCCTGCTTGTGGACCTTCCGGAGGCACCTGGGTGGCCACTGTGGGAAACAGGATGCTGGTCTCGATGGACACTGCTTTGATCCAGAAGGGCTCTACTTATGTTCCTGTGTCACTAGGCAATGCCAAAATTTGGCTGAAGTTGATGGACATAGATACCACATGCTTGGATTTGGGATCAGTCCTGCATGTGGAACCTCTGCATGTCAGCAATGGTCAGATTTGGATATTACACCATCATTAGGAAATTCACTAGGGTTGAAGGTAAGGCAGGCAAAATGGGGGAGGGTAAGGTGCACCCTCATGCTCCCACCTGTCCCCCACTGTCCACAGGTCTGTATATCATCCAAATAGGATAGCCGGCCTTCCAGGAAGAATACCTAACTGTGGCATAGAAACAGCCAACTGGGATCTATGGATGTGTCCTTTCACATTTCTTTTCATTCTCATACACTATATTGTGAAGCGTTTCGCCCTGCCCATTTCAGTTACACTCTTTTAATGTTATTTATATGCCACTGACATGTATCTGACATGTAACTGCATGAATTTATAAATTTACTATGAAGAAATAGAGAACAGCGTGAAAATAAAGGGTCGCTGGGTTTGCTTCATGGAAGGCAGAAGCCAAAACAAAACTGGGCTGTCAAGTCCAAAGAGCAGGGGTATGAAATCCAGTAGCACCCCAGGTTTTTTTAAAAAATCAGGCTCTAATGTTTTAGTTGAACCTAATAAAAAGTAATGTAGTAACTGCTGTTTCCCCTTCTAATGGACCAACCTGGCTTCATGCAGGGATTTTTTTGAGGCACAAAATAATTTTTTAAATCAATTTTAAATATATTTTTTAAAAGTTGAATATCAATTATATAGAAGAAGCACCTTTAACGAAGTAATGGGCAAAAGATGTAGGGAGAAAAACTGATGCGGAGGAATGCAAACAGATATGAAGAGAAGGTACCCCGTCCTCAAACTGTTCTGTTGCAAAATAAAATGATCACAAATTACTATTCCCGCGAGGCTCAAGCGGTGTCAGTCATACCAAATAGAAATGGTTTCCCAGAAAGGGAAACATAAAAAGAGAATCACTGGAGAGGTTCATGCAGAACAAACCTCCCGACTACAGTAGTTTAGAGTGAGGTTTTGCTCAGGGATCCAAGTTCAAATCCTTCCCCTCAAGATTGGTCAAATCTTGGCCTCAATCTGCTGTCTCGATGGCAGTTAATGACAGCAGTCACCTTCCCTCCCCAAATAAGGGGGGGGAAACTATCCTGAGAATCCTGAGATTTGTCTTGCAAAGTGTTTCAGTGGCTCTGAAGACTGCAGTGATTGTTACACAAATGTCTGTGACATTCCTGTGTATCAGGGCAAAGTGTCATTCTTAAACAAGGTTATCCTGGTTCCTTCTCCTGTATCCCACCTTGCTGCTGCCTCTTAGCCCTTAAAACAGCAAGTGTGGTCTATGACTGTAATTCCAAATATTTTAAATAGGACAAACATGGATATGTCCTGAACATGCAAAGAAGAACATGGCCTCAGACCAGGCCTATACAATTTGTGACTTGCCAAGCAAAACTCAGCCCATCAGCAGGAGAGGGAGACTTTTTTCATTTCCTGCTTGGGATTGCAAAAATAGGGTACACATGTGTACATCAAACATCCTGACAAGCCAAAACACACAGCAGGCAGAGTTGTCTACCAAGTTGTGTAGACCTACTCCAGAAGAAGATATTCAAAGTCTTCATATGCATTTTGAGACAGCAGAGCCATTGTGTGTTGGGAGGGAATGCTCCTTTTCCAGTAATCATACTCCAGTAATCATCAACTTCTCATTAAATGAGCCACACATCAATTTAAAACAGTGGCATACTGAAGGTGTAATGCAGATGAATAATACCAATCACAACAAGTTCACACCATGTAAAGTGTAAAGAAACCTAAAAATATTTAAGGTCTGGTATGTTCAGAGAAGTGGTAGTGTACTTTAAAACACAGCTGGAAAACTGCTCTGGGCATCTGAGAAGACAAAAGCTGTATAGCCAACATGATTGGTACTAGCCAATAAGTGCCTTCTGCAGCTAGCTTCCTCACCTCACTGGAAAAAAAATCAAAGGAACCATTTAAGTTCTCAATCCCACTCTTATTCACACTTTTTCTAGCCTCTCTTACAAATGGGTCTGGACACCTTAACTTAAAAGCATGTTACCGTGTTTGGGGGAGAACAAAGGAGATTTTGATCGAGGTGGGTTTTCTGGCCGAGGGGCTACCAGCTGCACGGGGCGAGCCTGCTTGTCTGCCAGCTTTTTGAAGCAAGCTTGCCTGTTTTCAAACATGCTCCGAACATTCTCAAGCTTGACCTGGACTGTCTGTATCCGAGCCTGTGGATTCCATAAAGGAGACACCCGTTAGTGTCAGAACTGACATTTTATTTTTACTCTGGGTAATTGCTCATGTTCATTCACTCTCAAGCCCAGGTCCTGCCAGGCTGTGATTGGCTTGAGGCAAAGGCAGAGGGGAACCAGGCAGGCAAATGTTCAGTAAGTATGGATCTCCTGACCAGTAACCAGGGCTGACTCAGAAGCTTTAACAGGGAAAATGGCATATCATCTGGCCTGCTCTGGCCTAGGCATTTAAAGAAATCTTCTTGGCTGGTGTCACTGAAGTTCCTTCCTTTAGTGCACAGACTGAAGCATTGCTTGATAGGCCCTGGGTTCCTAGCTTAGGCCCACTAGAAATTTAAGTGTAGGCAAACCATCCCCAATCCCATGTCCTATTGTGACTATGGCTTTGTCACATGAAAATCAGTTCCTCCCAAAATACAGTCAATAATTAGTTAGCAAGAGACACAAATTTGTGGATTGGTTGGAGTTTATTGTACCATGAGTCACCCTTGGATAAAGAATGGAGCAAGACTTTAAGGAAAGCTATGCAGATTCTTCACCCCCACTGGGAACTTGACTTCACATCTGGCATTACAGAAGACTGCTGAGTCAGCTACCAATCAGAAGGGACTGTCCATTTTTTTAAAAATGAAAAATTTTAAAGTGACACACTGACTTCTGCGTATGCTCATCTTTCACTACCCAAATCACAAACATTTAAAACTTAAGAACAAAACTGCTCTGGAAATGGAGGGAGGGAGGGAAGTTTGTTGGTGACATCATGAGCATTACCCAACAGGTGCCCTCCATAGCCATCTTTTCCCCTGGTTCAAAAACTTGCAAATTAAGCTCAGTCCAGAGCAGCAAAGGTTGTGTTTGCAGTGAACACAGTGAGGGTGTTTTCTCAATATTCCTTCCATACTAAATATGGCACACTGAGCTTCACCCTTCCAGAGAACCCTCGTCATGGTGAAACGCTTTGAACCACTGTATTAGTTTCATATCAAACACTTTGCCCCCGATCACCCACCAAATATTCATGAATAGGCCCAGGGTTGTTTTCTTACAGGGTGAGAAACTGCTCCAACTATGTATAAATAGACCAAATTCAAGCCCTCTCATCTTGACTGTTCATCAGGTTGTTCAGCCTGCTCCTAACAGACAGCACTGCAGAACGCAGACCACCGTAGCTGGATGGTAAAATTCAGCTGCTTATAAGGGCTTACCTTTAGTTCAGGTGTTAAAATTAGCTCATAGTCAGAGAACAGGGCCTGAGGGTCGGCGTTTATGTGTTGTGCAGAGCTCTCAAGGAATTTCTCTATGTCCTGCAGAGCTTTTTGGGCTCCTTCCCGAGACTGGCATTTATCCATTGGTTGGTTGGCTAGAAGGTATGCACCCTCATCACAACACTCCAAAGCCTGAGGAAAAAATAAAATAGGCAGAGACAAGAATGAGCTGAGTCATCAACTAGCCCAAGGAGCATCCAACTGGCAGCCTTGTCAGCAGGATGCATTGTGGGTCCCCATAGCTTGTTACTAGAAACAAGGGAGGCAGCCGTGAGGGTCAAAATACTTGACTCCCTCAGAAATGCTCATATTTAATTGTTCTCTGCTGTTCTTGCATTGTCTTCTACTCTAAGTGTAAACAAAGACCACCTGCAAGGGGAACACAGTATGGAATTATTTCCACCATTACTGGCCTCTCCTATATTTCCCCCTAACACTAGCATGGTTCAGAACAGCTGCCGTCTCCTGCCAAAAAAGCAATTTTGCTGGAAAGCATTTGGCTCTCCAAACTGTTGGCCACTCATGGGGTTCACTGATATACAGGTCTACAGTAAGACTTCAGTGTGTGGGCGAGAACCTTGGCAGGACTTGATGGGAGCAAAGAAACCTACTATCAGGCAAGCTTGGACAAACCAGATATTTGAAACACAATCAAAGAGCTTCATAGAGGGGTGAAGCAAGCTACAACCTGAGCTATGCATTCTCAGTGCTAGGATACTTTAAACTTTGTGCTAAAGTAAGTGTACTACTCTAAGTGTAAACAAAGACCACCTGCAAGGGGAACACAGTGTGGAATTATTTCCACCATTACTGGCCTCTCCTATGACCTTATATGACCTTTATGTCATATAATTTATTCCTATGTTGCTCATCACAATGTTCTGCAGCCACTAGAAATCTTATTTAGCCATTTCTCCAGCTCCTGAGATTTCAATAGGCATTGCCTACACACTGTCAGGTACAACCTGGCATCTGTAAGGGCTGGTAATATGTTCTTGGTTGTTGTTTCTTTAAATGAATGAACACTGGGATTCTCAGGAAGATCAGTTTCATCTCTCCAGCTCCTGAGATTTCAATAGGTATTGCTCACACACTGTCAGGTACAACCTGGCATCCGTAAGGACTGGTAATGTGCTCTTGGTTGTTGTTTCTCTAAATGAATGAGCACTGGGATTCTCAGGAAGATCAGTTTCATGCCCTGTAATCTGCACTTTTTGTTTTTGCTCTCCGTCAGAAGGTGGCACCCCTGCACCACTGGCCATAATTATATGAAGCCAGAATCTGAACACAATGCTCCTGCACCCACTATCACATACAGTCCTGGTTTGGGGCCATTACCTGCTGCAGGGAGGTGAGGAGGTCCAAGGTTTGCTGCAGCCTGCTGCGCTTCCTTTTGATCTCCTCCAGCAAGATGTCTGAATGGTGGCGCAATTCATTGCACTGCTGGCAGATCAAGTTGAGGGCGTAGTGGTGGTTAGCTGCCAATTGGTGCCCATGAAGTATCACCACGTGCGCCTTTCCTGTCAAATCCTTTTATATAAAAGCAAAAATAAACAAACAAAAATGCAGAAAAAAATAATAAGGAAAAAGAGAGATTTGTTGCATATCTAAATGCTAGGACAGCCATGTTAACATGCCACAGTAAAAAACAAAACCCAAAACAATCAGGAGTCTTGTGATATCTTGAAGACTGATTAATACATTGAAGCATCAAATGACTTTCTTTGTTTGTCTTTGTTTTCTTACAGTTTTGTTCTGAGCCTTTTTCATTTCATGGCTAGATGCTGCCTGTCTGTCTGGTCCTCTTAAGCTGTTTTAACATGATTCATATGCCAACTGTGCATTGACTGATGCAAAGATAACATTATTGCATATTTTTAAAGTGTGCAGAAAATGAAAACAAGGCAAAGACAGACTTGTAGGTTCAATTTACGCAAGGAAAGAGAAGAACTGAAATGGGGGGTTTCAGGTAAAAATGACAGGGCTGGGAAATTCAGTAGGATTCCAAGCATAAACCTTTGTGGACTACAGCTCTTTATCATGTGCTGTATAATGTGGACTATGGATGCTGTGGTTTGTGAATGAAATGAAAAAGGGCAGCAGTACTTCTGCCATATTCCTATGTAAAGGAAGGGGATTAGAAAGGATAATAGTGCACTTTGCTTTGCTAACTGAATGCTATACATTTGCTATACAGTAATACACTACCGGTAGTTTGAAAGACATCCTCACCTGTGCTGTTTTGTCTAAATTATTTAGGTCACAGAGCCTCTGTTTGACTTGAGAGATGTTATCTCCAGAATCAGGCAGCTCTGCTTGCTGATCCGTTAAAAATCCAATGGCTTTACTGAGCTAAAGGAACAGAATACAAAGAGGGAAGGGACATCATTATTCACAGGCTGAGTTTAAGCCACTAACACGCACGGTTAGAGGAAATATTGCCGTTTTAAACGTTTTGGAAATGATCTGACCAACAGACCTATCTTATGCATTCTTTGCTCCAGAAGTAAGTTTCAAGCTCAGTGGTGTTGATTCTCAGACTGTGACTCAGGTCATTAAAAAAAGGTTAAGCTACCTCAACCTACCTCTTGAAAATGTTGCTCAAATTTCCAAAGCTGTAAGTATTGCTCCATCTTGAGCTGGTGTTTCTCCCAGAATCCATCAAAAGCAGTTTCCATCTCGTGCAATTGTGCAAGTAAACTTTTAAACAAGAGGAAAACAAAGCATTTATATTTTAACAAAAATCTTGCCTTCTTTCCCACCAAGTTTCTCCAAGGTGGTTTACTGCAACAAACTCTAATACAGTTCAGTGCAAACGTATCTTGTTCAGACCTGGAAATTTCCCAGTTCTCTGAAAGTACAGCACTCATTTTTGTCACTTAATATGTAAGATTGTTTGGAACTCATAATGTACTTTTCAACAAAATGCACACTCTTAAAGTAAACTACAATTATTAGTAGAAAATAAAACAATGCAGCATAAAATATAACAATACTGTTGGAAGCTCAGTGTGAATGGATTTGGACAAAGGGGCTGGAAACCCCTTAGTGCAATCTTCATGTTCCTTAACTAGGGTATGTTCATATTCCGTATGTACTTTGGACATTTCCTCAATGAGAGATAATTGTTAAAAGTAGGTCCACATATGGCTCTTTTGATGCATCTCTCAAAGCTTTATGATGACTCTGCCCAGATAAACAGAGAGAACAGGTGTGTGTGTGTGTGGGGGGGGGGAACGACTGCAGGATCCCTCCCACCGCAAATCTGATGAAGGTGGTGGATTTGCTGCTCTATAGGGGTGTCTCTGTGACATCACCTGTGCTCTATTTGTATATTTATAAATAGATCAAACGCTGCAAAAACAGAAAAATAAGTAGCATGAAGACAATCTCCAGCCCTGCTGATGACACCACGCTTTCTGTACAGGAAGTTGCTTCCACTTATAGAAGTGGTCCATGCTCACAAACAGTGTCAATTTGCTATAGAAGTTTTCACCCACAACTTCTTTTTTAGACTAGAAAGGTGCATTTCCCACCTTTCAGCCCTGATGGACATCAACAGGGGCCAAGATCCATGTGCTTGCCCCTTAGGCAATGCATAGCTTTACTGCCATGTGTGAAGAAAAACAGAAGGAACAATCTGAAAGAGGCCTGGGGGCTATTCCAATATCAGTTACACCTACACTACAATATTATATTGGATATACACTGTTACGAAGTTCCATGGTTCTCTCCAAAGAATCCTGGGAATAGTAGGTTGTAGGGAGGCAGTGAATGTTCTGCTAGAGATCCCTAGTTCCTATCAGAGAACAACAGTCCCCAAGATTCCTAGGGAAGAACCACCGACGATTCAGTTGAGTACAAAATATGTCAATTTCTGTGTTCATCACAGCCAACATGATGCCCCCAAGCATTTCATTACATAATAACACCCAATATTCTAATCACCAGGATAAAAAAAATACTAAGACAAGAGGATCAGTGCTCTCACCGATTGACAGTCTCCCAGTCACCAGATTTTTCCTGCTTTGCTTCCTCCCCCGGTTCTTCTGTATCTGGTTCCTCCAGACTGCATAAGAGCATCTTGCCTTCTTTGGTAACAGCTGTAATATCTTCCTGCAAAGAAAATGAAAGCAAATCAACACACCACCAACCCGATGCTTCTAGGTTCTCATCACAAACTGACAGGATTTTACGGTCACCTTCATAGTAAAACAAAAGCCCTCTCCCTACTCTTTTTCCTAGAGCCATGACTATAAGCTTAGTGACCATGGCACCTGCTCTATGTTCAGAAGGCCCCAGGTGGAATCCATGACATCTCCAAATTAAAGACAACAAGTATCAAGTACTGGAAAAGACCTTTCAGAGCCTGAATCCAGGAGGGCCTTCACCCTAGCAAGGAGCATGGCCTTGCCGTCCGCAGTAATAGAGGGATTGTACAAAGGGATCCCTTATGCGCTCAGGCTCTGCACTTGTTCCCAGTCTGAAGTAGACTCTCTGGAGCATATCTTTTTTAATTGCTCTTTCCATATGGCAAGCCGAAAGGAAATCATTGGCCCGCTGCTGGAAAGGTTCCCAGGAAGAGCAAACAAAATTAAATTAGAATACTTGTTGTTGGATAGGAATCACCATACATCAAGACAGGTGGCTAGGTTCTGTGCCCAGGTATATAAGGAACGCAAAAAGCGAGGCAAGTAGTCCATATATCTAGTTTTATCAAAAATTGTTTTAAACTGATTTTTAAATGGTTTAAAAGGTTTGAACTGTAGTTCTACTTTTTACTTTATATTTTATATACCGTAACTTATAAGCTTTTATGTTACTAAGGTTTTTACTGGCTCATAACCAGCTACGATAGTATTGGGAATGTTTCTATTTGTCTTTTAAATCATTATGTACTGGTCGAAGACTGTAATAATAATAAACTGACAAGAGCCTGAATCCCTGCAGAGCTGCTATCAAACAGAATAGTCAGCTCTGAGCTAACGAACCAATGGGATCAATTTTTTATAAAAGACACTTCCTGTTTGGGGAGGGGCTGTGGCTTTGCATACCGGAGAAGTACTGGCTTTGCATACCGGAGAAGACAATAATGAGCTACATGGACCAATGATCTGAGGGAGCTTGATGTGTTTAAGCCTAAGCAACTGTATCTGTTCCTTTCCATCCCTGGCTGCCTTCATTGCTTTCTACACCGTTCCCCATTGGTGAGATTTAGATTGGAAGCTCTGAGGGAGGGGACCTGTCTACAAAATGCTGCAAAGCACCCTGTACACTGAGGAGACTACATAACACCACCACAGTTGAAACCAATAGAACATTAAAAAAACTCCACAGAATAAACAGATGTGTTATGTGCTGTCAAGTCACTCTCTTCACTGTCAACCCTGAAGCTGTGTAATTCTTCAGTAGTCATTACTTTTGTTTTCTTGATGTTCAGCTACAATACTACTTTGGCACTTTTAGCTTTAACCTTCATTAGTAGACATTTCAAGCCTTCACTATTTTCTGCCAGTAATGTGGTGTGATCTGCATATCTCAAATTGTTAATGTTCCTTTCACCAATTTTTACTCCACCGTCATCTAAATCTAATCCGGTTTTCCTCATTTTATGTTCTGCATATAGATATGTTCTGCATATAAATAACCTGCCTCCTTCTGCTTCTAATGCAGTGTAGCAGTAGCACTGCAGTCCCCAGATCCTCACTTGCAGCAGCAGTTTGCACACGATTACATGCAGATATTTTTCCTTGTTCACCTGTAAAACAGGTGACTGATGGGGGATTACCATTACATTAATTTAGAAGACGAAAGGGAGGGCTCGAGTTCTACACCATGGAAGGGAACCAAGAAGTACAATGCAGGGCAGAGTTCTACAAACAGATTTGTAGCATCTCCCACTGACTTGTACAGAAGAATGTACCCTTCCATTCAAGGTATGGACCTTGATGACAGATGGCAAGGCAGGCTGCAGGGACAGGGAAGGGGAGGCAGGGCAGGATAAGACTGCTGTACTTCATCACTTCCTCCACTTTCAAGTGTAGTGGATCTAGTGCCCATGGATCAGCCCTAGCCACTCTGCAAAGAGTGAGAATGCACCCCACAGCTCCTGTGCCAGCCACCAACTTGCAATCTGAGACTAGAGCAACTGGGTCCTTCTGCTCCCCAAAGCCACGTGAGTAGCATACCCATGGATACAAATGGCCAAGAGCTGACCAGCGCAGCTGGCCAAGACAACCAAAGTGGTGCCCAATCAAGATCTGCCCCATAATGCTCCTCAGATTCAGTTAAGACAAGGGAGTCTCGCAGACTGCCATAAAAGTCTGGACAAAAGTCAAAGTGGATTAATTCCTGCTCCCAGCCAGATTTATGGGGAACCGAGGGGAGGAAGATGACCAGGGTGCCAGTTGAACAGCTGCCTTCTGAAGCTGGAAACCAAAGAAATAGTCCTGACCACTCCTCTTTTGCACTTTTAGAAGCCTGACAGCTAGTAAGTGATTGTGTTATCTCTTTATCTCAAACATTTTAATCCTACTCCCTCCAAGGAGCCCATGGTGGCACATTTTGTTCTTCCTTCCTCTATTTTGTCTTCGCAACCAGGTTAGGCTAAGAAAGCATAACTGGCCCAAGATCATTCAGTGAGCTCCATGGCCTAAGAAGAATCTGAACACAGTCTCTGATTCTAGTTCAGCATTCTCATGAATACATTACACTGACTCTCTCAGTAATGGTACTAGAACATGGCTTGTCTGGTGGAACGGGCCTGCTCCAGCCTGCTGGGAGGGTTAAGACTCCCGGCTTCCCTTCCAAGTTCTGAGGCCTTGCCTCTGTGTCTCCTGCTGCCCAGTGCCTGGTCACCATGGGGACAGTTTACTGCCATGTGCGCCCCTGGAGGAATAGCCTCTTGCCAACTGCCTGCCTTCCCCCGGCGCTCCTTTAAAATTGCATGTCCAAGATGGTGGAGGTCTATATGATACAGAGAACCACTACCAGCATCAAAAGTTATAAAGTATTTATTTAAAAGAAAATGTTCACAAACATACTGTTAGCACACCACCAGACTGAGCAAGGGATTCAAAAGAAATGGGTAAAACACAATTCCTCTGTCCCCCTCTTTCTCTATACGTGCCATATCAGATGTTAAAATAGTATAGGCTCCTCAGTCTGGATCTCTACCGAGCTATCCTTACCTTGAAGCTTCCTTCCTGCTGCC